AGTTTCGTCTGTCTATGTGTTTTATTTATACGATATTGTTATACTTGCTGGAATTTAATGTCATTCATCTATTCGTGCTCGGTATGTTAACTTCTGTATATTCATGGAAGCTAAATACAAAAGATCAGTTCATGCCAAAACTATGATGCAATGTAGGCAGCTGCTCAAATGTAAAATTTATCATTTCAGAGGAGGCTAACGATGACGAACCACAATCACTTCAGAAAAGCCCCAAAATAAGAATCGAAAACTGGGATTCGAGATGCGCACACTTACGATTACAGCGTAATAAGCTCATCACTCTCATCATCACGCATGCGAAGTACACATACGAGTTAAATTAGCTTCCACCACCATACGTGCATAAAAATATATACTAGCAAAATTACTACCACCGCAACGCATGCAACGTACGCGCCAAAATTACTCAGACAGCGACGCATGCGCAGATTGGTGCACACGTACGGACGGCACTTAGCCACGATGTTCCCGCACGAATTTGCGCACAGCGTTGGCGATATCTAAGCTTCTCTCGAGGTGCTCGTAACCTTCACCTCATATCTGGAGCCCGTTTCAAAGCTAGCTAATTGCCTCGTCTGCAAAGGAAGCAAAAGCTCGACATCACCGCAGAAGACTGCTCCATATTTCACTCGCCGTGACCTCCAACGATCGTCTGAGCTTCGTGTGGTCTGATCGATTAGTGTAACCCGCTGGTGCACAGCCGTGGTTCAAACTAAAATAGCAGCCTTTTCGCACATGTCATGCAAGTCCATTAGAGACAATAATAATTCAAAATATTTATTTCTAAGTGAATATTAAGCACATTAGTTGATTCAAAAATGTGTGTAGCAATGATTTACTGCCCGAACCTATGCTAAGATGCTAAAAAATGCTATACACCGGCACACTGCTTACTGCTTGCACAACCGATGTTCAAACTAAACTATCAGCCATGTCGCACACGTCATGCAAGTCCATTAGAAATAATCTTAATTCAAGATATTTATTTTTAAGTGAACATTAAGCACATCAGTTGATTCAAAAATGTGTGTAGCAATGATTTCCTGTCCGAAAATGCAAAAGAATTCTTTACACTGCTTTACCGGGTCATTGCAGCAATAATGTTTGTCAGCAATACTTGAAACGCGCACCGCTTGTGCTCTACAGTAAGAGGTTGTACAGTACAGTGCTCTACACTACAGTAACTCTAGGTTGTACAGTGCTCTACAGTACAGTATTGGTTGTACGAGGAACATCTTCAAAATTGGATATTAGAGTGCTGAGCCATCCTTTATGTACGACCTCTATAAGTCTATAAGTAACTACTATGTAACACGTTTATCGCCAGTCATCTCTTACGCCGTGGCAACTTAATTAGTGGCCATATACATGTAAGTGCATTTGGAGGAACTAGACCTCTATCTGTTTCTCTTTCTCTGCTAAAAAAACTAACATGCCTTCGTTGTTTTGAATTATGCATCGTTCTGGGAGAAGGTCAAAACAATGAGCTAATGACCTCTTTGTGCGTATAATGCTGAATATAATATTAGTATTTATAATGAATCTGGTAATAAAAAATTAGTAACGAACCATTATCTGCAAAGTAACGTAGCACATTTATTAATTCAATCCTTGAATTAAGTCTTACAGTTACACAGTTATTGACTGCATAATTTAACAATGACATTCTCGTCAAGGCGTTTCCGATCAACTTCTGGAATGAAATTTTCTAAAACAATTTAAATTGATGGAAATTGAACCGATTCAGATCCATTTTCTGTAAATAAAAGAGTGAATTCAAATCGTTTCCAATTTGGACCTAAAAATAACTTGTATTCTTCATCAAGAATAATCTTATATTTCCTTTACGTGAATAAAATAAACTCATTTATCCTAATTAACTTAGACTCCGTCAACTTCATGATGAGTCGCCTGTTTAAAAAAAACTCCCTCTGAAGAAGCGACCTCTGGCACATAGAAAATTCTGATTAGCACACATTTGGATGAACCTGAAGCATTGACCTTAAGCGTCCACCTATAACCTGTCTCTTATACACATCTAGATGTGTATNGTGCTACAGATGATGTCTCCCGTGACCCCCGTAACAATGCTGCGGATATGATGACGCTGCTGTGTTACAGATGATGTCTCCCGTGACCCCCGTAACAATGCTGCGGATATGATGACGCTGCTGTGTTACAGATGATGTCTCTCATCACCCCCGTAACGATGCATCAAGATTTACGAGGATGTAGTGGTGAACCGCGGCTCCGGACGCGCTTTTATTTTCGTATATATCAAACAAATTGAATATATGATATTTTATCAATGATTTATGCAATTCATTCCTAATTATTTTTGACAGATGGGGCTGCAGAAATCAGTCTAAAATTTTTTTAATTCTTGACTGCAGTAGTTCAAGAATATTAATTTTCACCGGTAAATGATGCAAGACACTTTCGATAATTTAGCAGAGTTCAAATGTTTTTAATTTTTATTATTTAATACTAATACTAATTTAATACCAATTTAATACTAATACTTCAAAGCTAAAAATTGTGTCAAAGCAAATGAATTTGATTTAATACGGAAAATTTGTTTGTTTTAATTCGTTGCCCTACATACAGGAGCCAACAGAAACAGTTTAAATAGTTACATTACCTTGGCTTGAGATCTGATGCCCGAAAATTTGAACATGATCAAAATTATTACAAAACATACTTATAAAATATGCCAGCCTAATTTACTCAAAATATTGATACGTCGCAAGTCATCTGCGTGAGAAAATTCCCGAACTGACCGTGACCTCCATATTAACAAAGCTAAAATAATCTCTTCACATCGCACGGAGAAATCAGAGCACCTCAATCGAGGGACGTAAGAATTAACCATATATAAAATAACATGATATACGAGTCTCCTTCTCTTGTAAACCCAGCGGAAGTTTTTGGGGAACTTACAATCTATTAACGAACAAGCGTTCCCCGACACTTAATTAGGACTTGATCGATCTTCTTCACCCTACACTTTACTGAAATGAAGAAGGATCATTCAATGAATGAACAGTTGAAATTAAATATAATTAATGAAGTAATGAAGAATGAATAGAAACACAAGACTAAAAAGCAAACACTCTAACAACCTAAATCTTTAACTCCAACGAGCTTAACCGTGCTTTTCGACATTTGATTCACTCCCAAATCTGTTCACAAGTTGATTCCCAGTAATCCCGAAATGGATAACTTTAAGACTTGAGGCCTTACTGAAAAGATAAAAAATAACGTTCATGAAATACCTAGCTCAAATAATGATTATAATAGTAATAGACAAAATAAAATTAGCACACAAAAATAATCAGTAGGCTATAATACAACACGATTTACTTCCTACCATTTAACATCATAAATAATCATAAATAATCACATATAATCGCAAATATTCACATATTATCACATTTAATCACAAATAATCTCAAAGCTCCCAAGAAATGGGATTTCACAGCAAGATCAACCGGTACAATGGCACATAGAACACATTACTGTAGGAGTTCACAGCTAATGTGATTGAAAACTAAAAATTATAAGCCAAAATCCTAAACTTTATACATTGCAGCGTAAAAATTATAAGTAATAAATGAAATTTATTCCCTCTTCAAAGTGTACGATGCATGCGGCCTCGTGAAGTTTCTAAGTGATAAAGTCGATGTTACAAACTAATTATGGCGGTGATGACAAGCCGGAAATGGAAGATGTTTCAGGAAATGTGCCAAGTTTGAGACGTCGATCAGGTTCTGATAAAACATCAATACACACCATATACGTATACATTATACAGTACAGTGGAGCAAATGATTAGCTTATTTTGTAATTCAGCCCAAATGACTGCATACTGTGAAGCTAGGCTTATAAAAAATGCGTGAGAGAAACCTACTATTTTTTTTATTATGCAAACTGCAAGAGACGGAGGTAAGGATCTGGAAGGAGATGCATCTAAAAAGAATTAATTCCAACAAATTTAGTTCCCGCCACTGACAGTCACGATCAAGCAGATCACGATCGCTAAATGCGGAAATTTGTTCGAGACAACAGCGCAGATGCCTAGTAAAGTTCATTTCAACATAACAATTTGTTCTTCAAAGAACTTTTACTCAAAATATCAATACAACGTGGAACATTTAAATTTATGAGCCTTTACAAATTACAAATATTGCCTCTACAAATCGTAATTACGAAATGTATTTGCCCTAAGATAACATTCAACAGCCATCGAATTTTTACAAAGGATCTTGAATATAGATTGGCGTTACTTGAGCCTCAGAACGGTCTGATTAGCAAGACAGCCTGGTATAGAAGACGGTCTGATAAGCAAGACAGTCCTATATGAAAAATGGTCTGAGATGCACGACGGTCTAACGGTTGAATACGCAAGACAGTCGGTATACAAGCAAGACGGTCTGGCATTCTCATATTCAAGACAGTCTGTCATAAAAGACGGTCTGGTATGCAAGACGGTCTGATAAGCAAGACAGTGTGGTATGCAAGATGGTCTGATAAGCAAGACGGTCTGGTATGCAAGACGGTTTGACAAGCAAGACGGTCTGGTATGCAAGACGGTCTGATATGCAAGACGATCTGGTATGCAAGACGGTCTGATAAACAAAACGGTCTGGTATGCAAGACGGTCTGACAAGCAAGACAGCCTGATATGCATGACGGTCTGATAAGCAAGACGGTCTGATATGCAAGACGGTCTGATATGCAAGACGGTCTGGTATGCAAGACGGTATGATATGCAAGACGGTCTGATATGCAAGACGGTCTGGTATGCAAGACGGTATGATAAACAAGACGGTCTGATATGCAAGACGGTCTGGTATGCAAGACGGTCTGGTATGCAAGACGGTCTCCCCCTTGCCAAGTGAGGGGCAGGGAGGTAGCCACGGTCACGGAGCCGAGTATATAAGGGCTGTTCTCACAGCTCATCCCTCACTCATGAGAGGTCGGTCGTCCGACTGAGTGTCGTTTGAGACCTCGTTGATGTTTTCTAACCGCTTTACGAGTAAACATGATAAGCACTTATAATGTAAATAATATAATCTTTTATTTTTAAAAGGGCAAAAAGCTAATACTGAAAGGTTTTTTAGTACTTGTGATTTTGACATTTATGTGAACATTGTTGGTGTTGCATAGATTTACGCCTGACCCCACTTCTGGTCATCTCAAGGGAACAAGAATTTGTCATGATGGAGCAATAAATCAGGATGATTCCTTGGTTGATATTTCAGCTTTTTCTACATTCCGAAAAAAGGATGAAACTCATCGCAGGTAATATTACTCATATTTTCAGGCATCTTGAGTTTTCCATGTTACTCCCGCAATCTCTGGAATGTTCTGAATCGTTAAAATAGACAAAAACTGTAAACTTGTTCACAATTTAAATAATTGCAGCCGTTTTGTATCGGGAATTCACATCAATAATGTTGAATTTCTCCGATATTTGTTTCACTTGTGACAGGTGCTACGATCCATAAACGCTTGGGAGCCTGCAGGAAATGAACGGTAAAGATGGCTAAAACAATAGCAACGTGAGGGCACAAGCATTAGCAGGCGCCCACATCAGTTATTGCACATTGTGCCGTGCAACAGTTTATCCCTTGACTACATATATACGATCCATGAACAATGGAAGTGATGGCAAGAAACTCTCTTTTGTATTAGTAAAATTCCATGTATAATTCAACGTCGGATATGACACTCTAATATATTCGTAAACAATACAGTACAGGAGGTTATAGTGAAGCTCAAAAATTAGTTCCAAGGAGACTGCGAATGGGTTATTCCAAGTAAATACTTTTAATTTCGTAGATAAGTACTTTTCAATGACCTCTGTATTCTTTCGCTGCGGAAGTTTAATGCGCTATGTGCACAATAATTTCAACATTTTATTACTAATCGTAACTCTCACTTGAAAGAAACTGCATTACATGCAAGAATATATGTTTATATAAATTAAAACCTTACAAATTTATTTTTTTGCAAAGCGCTATTGTTTAACATAGCATTTTCCAAACATGTTTCGCAAAACTTTATTTTTAACTTTTAACAATGATACTAATTTTTTATATCCGTTAGTGCACCTGGTTGTGATTCCTTCATTTGGCCGTCTAGAATGATAGGATTTTACACGATATTTGTATTCATTATGTAGTTTGTTTATTATATATCAATTATGGATTTCGTTTACTCGCAATTGGCCATGGAATTTCAACGGAGCTGTCAAGATGAAAAAATTAGATAAAAGCCCTTGAAAAGCACAATAAAAGTTTTCAAATACAGTCCGTAATAAATTTACTGTGCTGTTAAAACTAAAATCATTACTTATTTTTTAAATAATATATTAAATTCATCATGTCGGTCGCAAACCTATTGAATTCATTATAAAAATATGTAGCATACACATGACGACTGAGTATCCTGGAATTCCAGCTTAGAAATAACCTGTCTGTATTTGGCCACCCGGGTGCATTTTCCCAGCACTCCTAAAATATTTATCGAAAGTGAAGCCGTCCTAGAACAAAATTATGTCGTGCAGCTCATTTTCCACCAAGCCATTTACTCGGCATTTGATTTGCAAAATTGCAGTCACGATCGAAGAGGCTCGTTTGTCCATCGACCTGCCTTCGAGAATTTTCCCTTTGTGTAACTAGCCAATTTGGTTGTCTTATAAGCTTTATTATACGTACGACTATTTGCAATTGAAAAGTTTACAAAATAATGTGCGTGTCTTGGCGCAACGTACAACGTCGTGTGTGATCCTTTACAGTCACGACTGATCGTTTATAGTCATGAGTGATCGTTTAAAGTCACGAGTGATTGTTTACAGTCATGAGTGATTGTTTAGTCAGGAGTGATCGTTTACAGTCATGAGTGATCATTTACAGTCTTAATTATGAGTGATCATTTACAGTCATGAGTTGTCGTTTACTGTCACGACTTATCGTTTACAGTCACGAGTGATTGTTTACAGTCACGACTGATTGTTTACAGTCACGAGTGATTGTTTACAGTCACGACTGATTGCTTACAGTCACGAGTGATTGTTTATAGTCACGACTGATTGTTTACAGTCACGAATGATCGTTTACAGTCATGAGTGATCGTTTACAGTCACGAGTGATCGTTTACAGTCACTTCTATAGCTCGCGTGGGAATGACCCGGCGCGTCTGAGCTCTGCTTCGCCACTGAGGTGCAAAGGCTGCCTGCGAAGCCAACTTTTCACTGCCCTGTTCATCCTCACGTCTATTGTTTAAAAAAAAAGATAATTCGATGCTATTTGAGATTTCCACGAGGTTCCAGCATGGCTTGCACTAAAATATACTCTGGGATATCTGCTAAAAATAAATGTAAAAGGTTTACTTCATTGCCGCACCATATTTTTATTTGATTCACATTTATATTGTTCAAGTAACATTTATATCTTCTAGAAGTTCCCATACGATTTTCATTAATAACATTCATCAACTGGCCATGGAATAACACGCATTCAAATTTTAGGCTATATTTTTCGACGTTCGACGTGGAAGGACATGTCTACAGTTTTTTGAGTTGAAAACAACATTAATGTTTAACGTCTTGAAATTTATGGAAGACTTGTTCATGAGGCACCGAAAAACAGTACTTCATTACAAAACCCTCAAGCTTTTCAAGTTTAAACTTTTCAACTCTAAAATTTTAATAGATAAGTTTCAAAAATTTTATAGCTTTCACTGGTTGTTAAAATTCATCCCTATTCTCTGCCCTTGGACCGTCAAATTAGCTGTCTGAACTGCGCAGGCGCAGCAGTCCATCAACCATAACAGCTGCAATCAAGAGTCATTAACGTGATAGGATTTGAACATTATATTTTAAAATATAGATTTAAAAAGATTAAATAAAGATTTAATAAAGATTTAGTTCACTGCACTAAAACTCGGAGTGCAGTGGACACGGCTACACTGGATAGCTGACGACCTCTCTACGCTTATTTGCTGATGTTCTTGTAACGGAATTTTGGAGGAGCTTTGCTTCCTATATAATATCTTCATCTATTTTTAGCGCATTTTCTCATTTATAGAAAAAATGCACTATTGTGCTCGCCATGTCCGTCCGTCCGTCTGTCTGTCTGTCTGTCCGTCTGTTTGTCCGTCTGTCCGTCCGTCTGTCCGTGACCTCAAGTTTTCGTCGACGAGAAAATGTGCTCTCTGTCACTCACTGCAGTGAGTCCTGAGTTATATTTTTTTCCAATGCTGCAGTTGCAATGTTTGCAACGATTTGGGATCCGCTTATACGATATCATTTGTACAAGACGTTTCATTCAATTTTAAAATTTAAATTACCGAATCAAATTACATTCCTTCGTAAATCACTCAATGAAGCATACATAATACATTTATTTTTACTGTTGTATTTCTGGGGCTTCAACTTAGCACAATTTTGCTTTATTATTGCCAGACCGTAAATATAGCTCATTTCTCAGAAGTTTTTTTGCATGACTGTATTTTCCTCAAAATTATCAATAGATTTTCGTTCATTGTTTTAAGAGGGATGTGTTTTTTACACAAAAGTTGGAACCGTTTTTACGAGGTTTTGACAACTGATGGAATCTCCGTAATTATTTCTCTCATATGCTGCAATTAATAGAAATTTTTATTTTTTTAATTTCTCGCAAATATTGTTTGGGTATAAATGTATACAAATAAATAAATAAAAATGCACAAAATAAGCAGGGTTATCGTTATTTTTTAGAGCCTGGATGGCCACTTCTAAAGCTTGCCGTCACACTCCTGGTGCTAATTGGCTGCGTCTCGGCCAATGGAGGGACGGCCTCACACAACGCTGTCTTGGAACGTCTTGCGGTCTCTAACTTTGCTTGCACCAATCAACAATATCCAGGGTAAGTGTGGAATCTATATTTTTGCATTAGAATAGATTAGAACGTTATGAAGAGCTTTTAATATAATTCTCTTCAAAAATTTCCTTCTTAACCGTAAAAAAGGTAAGCAAATTGAATATGCTGAATCCCATTTGCACTCAAAAGTGCGGAGAACGGCAAACGAAAGCGAAATTTCCTGAGCAATCAAACCGCTTGCCGATGATATTAAAAAATATTGCAGATAACTTTATCCTGTTTGTTTTTGAAAATCAAAACTTTGCTTCGAATTGTGTCCAGAGAGAAGAGTAGTAACTACAGTGTTTCGGTAGCTAAAGAAGAGTAGCAACAAAGTTGCAGTAGCTAAACTGGCCCAGTGGTTACAGTTCCGCAGAGTTCCAAGATAGGAGCAGAGAGGTGCGGGTTCGATCCCAGCTCTGTGCGACAGTTTCTGGTCAGAATCGGCAAGGCGGCCGGGCGGTTAAGCGCAGCAGAATTGTAGTAGTGAGTTGCGAGTTCGATTCCGCAAAATGTTGTAAATATTCTGCGATGTTAAGAATCGGTGACAGGCCTACGGCCTACTAAACGCTGAAACCGCTATTATTATTATATCATTATAAATCATCGTCAAATTTTCAGGTACTATGCTGACATTTCGACGGACTGCCGCGGGTTCCACGTGTGCCAAGCAGACGGCAGACACGACTACTTCGTGTGTCCGAACAACACCTCTTTCCAACAGCGCTATCTTGTGTGCGACTGGAGTGACAATGTTGATTGTTTAAACTCTGATGCACATTTTCACGTGAACGCCGCGATGTTTGAGAATGATAAAATATTTTCTGAACCTCCAGCCAATATCGCCGAATTGATGCATCCTCACCTGCAGCCACATCTTCAACAGGCACTGTTCCAAGGACTCTCATCTTCTGAAATTAACTATTCTCTAAGATCACGGCAACAACAAAAGAATGATGTGAGCGGTCAAGGATTCGACCTCAAAGTCAGACCTTCCTCAAACACAGACATAAAGCCTCTTTCCACTACAGAATCCGTGTTGGACTATCTCGGTGACAGCCTCTCTGAGGTGGCTAGAACAGGGAGTTCTTTTTTTCCTCTGATCATCAATTCATGGAGCAATCACCCTTCCTACTAAGCGGGGGACGATCTCACCCTCGCAACCAAAGAGGTCGATTCTCTAGTCAACAATCAGTTAATCCTGTATCCTTCTATCAACAAAAAAACTTACATCGGAGGAGGTTTCCCGTCGCACAAAAGAATTTCAATAAAGATGCATTCCCACAAAATACGACTATAGACGAGAAGAAGATAGCACCGTTTTGGGCAACACGTGACTTCTTCACGAGAAAAAATAGCGCACAAAATGGACATGGGAGCACGGAGTTTCCCACGAGAAAAACGTTTACGAAAAACCAGGGGGTGCAACAGGCTCCTAAACCTTTCAATAGTCAAACGAATACTCGTGGGCGCAACAAATATCGTCTTCCGATCGAGGCAAATTATCGTTTAGGAGAACGTCTTGCAGTGCAAGATAATTTACCACTGACCCCCGACGAGCCCCAAATGACTACTAGAAGTCGAAATCCGACACCCAACAATCAATCATCAGAAAGACTTATGTGCTACTGGTGTTCGATTCAAGTTGCTCAAGATAATTCGCCAGAATCCGGACCAAACCATATGCCTCAGAGAGTAGGTCTGCATGAATACAGCGAGGAAATCATCGAAAGTGTGGAAAAGGACTACGGCTTATCAAATATAAACAACGGGCCAGACAACAATTACAATGTCCCAATTCTACCAGACAATTACAATAAAAATCAAGACAGAAACTCAATTCAGCCTTTTGTCCTTCAAAAATATCAGAAAGAAGAAGTGCCCAGCAGTAGTCTCCGTTCTGGCCAACTGGTAATCATTCAAAATGATAGGTCGCCATCCAAAAAATTCAACGACAAATTACCATCCTCTAATATTGAAAACAGGCAGTTCCCCGGCCTCGTATCACCCTTGCCCGCACGAGCTTTCGAAGATACTGTGTTGCCTTTGCAAAGTACCAGCCAAGATGCTTTTCTACAGACCGACCCGCAGGTTTTGTCTTCAAATTTACCTGCCTACTTGAAGAAGCTCTCTTCCGTTCACGACTTGTACACGTCTTCATTACCGAGTAAAGCGGGACCCAAAGAAGCCGTAAGATCTCGAATTTCCGCAAACGTAGATGCTCTTATTGCACACCCGTTGGGCAGCTTCTTGTCTTCAGCTTCCCCTTTGTTACAAATTTCAAACCTCGATCTTCGCACCGGTGTCTCAAACAGTAGGAAAACATTAGGGTTGGTGGATGAATCAAAGTCCGCAAGAAAAATAAATCTGCCCAGTCCAAACAGTTTGCCTAGCTCAAACACTTACGTCATACATCCACATGTTGAAAGATCACTTTTGTTGGACGCTTGGTGGAGACTCCGACTCTACCTGCACGTTGGTCACAATGAACCTTGGACTACCTTCTGATCCTAAAATAAATTTAAACTACATTAAAATGTTTAAACTATATTACAATTTCTTACGCAAAATTGATCTTAAAATAACTTATTTCGATTACTATACTATGTTTTGGAAGTGAATACGCATTTTGATTATGAACGATGAGACAAAGCTTTAAGGTTCATAAGTCTTCCAATTTTAAGTCGTAATGACAGAAAAAAAATGTACTGATATCTCATCAATCTCTGTGTTGAACTCATGCGAAACCAGTCTCATACGCCTTCTAATTATTTCTTGTACACGGTTGAATTATATTATTGAATAATAATTGTTAATAGAAGTGGAATGACAGTTCCCATAAGTAAAAAAAAGCGGCTTCAGTAGTCTGAGCAACGGGAAATGAACCATCATATGCTTTCACAAACTGTTTGCTTCCATTTTTGAATTTAGTGCGAATAAGATAGATGATCGACGTAGCAGGCTATTTGAAAAACTACTGTGCTTTTTAGAAAATAAAACCTTTATTGCCTTTAAGTTCAACTGTTTCTATTTCCTACTTATTTTTAATTTAGCGGTTAAAAGTAAATTTATGTCATGATAACGTATTTTGTACCATTTCCGAACAGTATAAGATTGTGACGCAAAATTTAAATTTTACATAGCTGGTGACGTTGAAAAAAAACATAATCGCTACTTCTGAACCTTACGCACAAAAAACATGTTAATTCAAAGAGATTTCTTCCTAACTTTTGCAAGCCAATAAAAATACATATTTTCTTTAAATACCTCTTTATAAATAGGAATATATCTCTTCAGGAAACATTCTATCTCTGTAACTGCTCTGTTTGCAGTACTCCCAGTCATGCAGTGCCGTATATCTTGATTCTTAGTAAAAAATGTCTTGTATGAAACAACTTATCAAAATCATTTACATTTTTACATTAATAACATGCAAAAATATTTCATGGACCAATTAGGTTGAGTCAACTTAGGTGAGGTATCTTATTATGATGTCATAATGATAAATCTAAGTAAAATAATACAAAGGTACTTTACATGGTTGAAATAGTAGTATATATAGTTCAACCATGGGTACTTTAAATTGGCGTGATTGAAGCAATGAGTTTCGAGCCGCGGCGAATCACAAGACTCGGGAAATTCTCATATGCGCGACAGGCAAGACATAACCTAATCCTCATAGAAAAAAAACAGAATACATTTAATGATGGGAAAAAAGAGTTTCAATGTTCCATTAATCTCATAACTGCCAGTATTCCAAAGAAAATTTAAAACTATCATGAAAATCATATGTATGTAATTAATATGAAGGCATCATATTGTTACCGAGTTAAAAATGCATGATACGCATGTGAGAGAGCTGGACAAAAAATGTAAATGGCGAGTGAAAGGTGTGGACTGGGATAACTTTAGTGCGAAACTTACTGATACAGAATGGGAAGTGACAAGTGATGTGAATGGTATGAATGAACAACTCAAGAAATGTATGAACGAGGCTGCAAGGGCCGCATGTGCAAGGACAACTAAGAATAAACGCAAAAGCAGAAGAATTAATGAAGTATGGTGGAGTAGTGATGTGAGAGTGGCAAGAAGTGAACGAAAGAGATGTAATCGAGTCTGTAGGCAACTTCGGAAAAAGAGGCATGAGAGTGAGGATTGTGAGCAGGAATATCAGGAAGCATGGCAGAGGTATGAAGAACAACAGAGAAGAACCAAAATTATCATTAGAAACCATATTGTTGAGTATGAGCGAAATAGAATAAATGAATTCGTTATGAAGGGAGAGAGAGGTGGACGCAATTGGTATGCATTCCTAAGAGGGGACAAAAGTGAAAGCGATCTGAGAGTGGATGGGTTGAATGTAGAAGGAGTGTATGTAACTGAACGAACAATGTTGGCGGAGGCTGTGAAGAAATTCTGGGAAGACATTGGTGGGATGAATGACTTATTTACACCTGGTGAAAATGTTGTTTCATTAGAACGCAAAAATCTGAGTGGCATGGACGAGGAAATTACAACTGAGGAAGTGAAACAAGTGGTGGAGCGATTGAAGAATAATAAGGCAGCTGGAATGGATGAGATACCGTATGAGATGTATAAGTATGGAGGTGAGAGTGCAATTGGCAGACTGACTGATCTTTTTAATGTTGTTTGGACAAATGAGTGTGTACCTGATGCGTGGAATGAAAGTCGTGTTACCTTGCTTCACAAGGGTGGCCACAAGAGCAAAAAGGAACTTAGGAACTACAGACCGATTGCCCTTGCTGACACCAGCGGTAAGATTTTCTCTGCGGTTATGAATGAGCGGATGCAAAGATGTATTAGGAACGAAAGAGTGTTTGGTGAAGAGCAAAATGGTTTTAGATACGACAGAAGAGCAGAAGATAATATATATGTTGTGAATGAACTGATAGGGAGAATGAAAAGAGATGGAAAGAAAGTGTACTTGGCATTCCTAGACATAGAAAAGGCGTATGACCGGTTGGATAGAGAGCTTCTGTGCCAAATACTGGGAAAAATTGGAATGAGTGAAAAATGTGTGAGGCTTGTGAGAAGTATGTATGTGAATACTAGAGCAAAATATAGACTTGGGGATATTGAGACGGACTGGGTGAGGAGCAGGAGAGGCGTACGATAAGGCTGTATCCCAGTGGTTCCCAAAGTGGGCGATATCGCCCCCCTAGGGGCGATGGAAAGATTTTGGGGGGCGATAAGGAAGAAGAGGGTGGTAGGGGGGCGATAGGGGGGCGATATGGAGGGCGGCTGTCATTAGGGATGTGTGTGGACCATGAAGGATGTCAGAGAACAAAGGCCGCGAATTTAAGTAAGGCGAACCAATGGTTGGGTATACTTGGAAGTGCAGCAAAAGTGAGAGCGAGTAAGTATGAAGTATTGAGAGAAGTGTGGAAGAGTGTAGCAGTGTCTAGCATTATGTATGGACTGGATGTGATAGCATATAGTGATGGCGAGCTAGATAAATTGAAATTGGTACAAAATAGATTGGCGAGATTGGCACTAGGAGCCCCCAGGTGGACTGCAGTAGAGGCCCTGAGAGGAGACATGGGTTGGAGTACCTTCAAGGAAAGAAGAATGAGAGCAGTTTTGAGGTATAAAGTGAGACTGGAGCGAATGGATGAGAACGTTGGGCTCGAAAGATGTATATGTGGAACATGAAGGTGAGCAAATGGGCACGCAGATGTCGGGCAGTGGTGCGTAAGTGTGGCAGGCATGCATGAAGCGTGGGTGCGCCAAAGGCCCGCTGGGCCAAAGGACGAATGGGTGGTGACAGTACGGGGTGCGATTGGGATAGAGTGGGATGAAAAAGAGTGGAAAAGAGAAATAAATGAGCGAGTGAAAGACTATGGGCTGAAGGTATGGAAGCAAGGAATGGAGGGAAAGGACTCTCTAAGACAGTATCAGATGAAAGCGATGCCAAAATATGAATGTATGTGTATGATGGTAGTAGAGGTGGGGACCTTCTGTTTTGTGTTAGGGCAGGCGCGCTAGGTGTGAATGGACGCACATACAGGTGGAATGAAAGGAGAGAAGATAAATGTTTTATGTGTGATGGGGATGAGAAGGAAACTGTAGAGCACTTGTTGATGGAATGTGGGGCGTATGAGAGAGAGCGTCAGTCTATGATTGAGGTGATTCTGAATGAGAGAGGTGAGACTAACGAGGTGGGGCATGAGAGAACAAGCGAAGAGTGGATGGCGATAATTACGGGTCTGTCTGAGGGAGCAACTGCGGCTATGTTTGAGAGTGTGAAGAGATATTTGGAAAACGTGTGGATGATAAGGGAGAGGAGGAGGATGATAAGAGTGGAGTCTTGAATGGAGGGTTGAGAGAGGGGAGGGTGGGAATACGTGTGAACGTGCCGAATTGTTTTAGTACGTGGTTTTAATTTTTTGCGATTGTCAAATTTTTATATTTTTTCTTAGGACAGCTGTGAATATGGTATATTTGAACTTTTTTGTTAACATAAGAGTGTGAACTTTTAATTTTTTTGATGCTAGTAAAAGTTTTTTTAGGCAGCGTGTATGACCGATTTAAAGGTCATGACCGTAGGTCACCACGCACCCCAATTCCAATTCCAATTCCATCATAATATATAAGAATAATGATGATTAAATGCTAGAACATAATCACAGACAAAAAAATACATATATGTTCCTAGATTTTCCAAGCTGCTCATAAAAAAATCGGAAGTTAGGCTCTACTTCATTTATTTGTAGTCAGATAATTTTCTACTCATTATTAATTTTTATATAACAGTATATATCGAGGTCACAAGCCACAGTACTCCATCATTAAAGCGTGGACCGTGGATATTATGAATTTGTGAAGCAGGCAAAGACTCCTGAGATTCACAGTTTTTCACATGTGTAGGATAAATTGTAGCACTCGCTAGAGTACATTTTAGTTTCGAGCTATTGCTGTCAACCATGTTGGAATGCTGAAACGAATGTGTGCTGAAGACTTCTTTCCAGTCAATCAAATTTGAATCTTGCTGCAAAGATGTCGTTGTTTAAAAAGAAGAAGGCTGGGAACATAAGAGAGCGAAAATTACCTTTCGATGAAGAAGAAGATGAAAAGCCAGTTGGAGATGTATCTGGGGGATTTGGTTTAACTTCAAATAATGGCTCTTTTACAAATGCCATAAAAAAAGAGAAGAAGAAAAGCAAAGAAAAACGAATAGCTGTTAATGCATTGAGCTTTGAAGATGAACTTGAAGGTGAATATGAACTTTTTTTATGCCAGAGTACTTTATGTGCTCTGTAGTGAGTACTGAGTCTGTACTTTATGTAATCTGGTCGCTGTACTTTATCAGTTTAGGCCTAATGATTGTATCATTGTACCTATTTGTAAAATTGTACCTACTTGCTACTTCATGCCCTAACCACAGCTTGTTCTGAGCTGTATGCAAAAATTAAAATTTTTCTGTATTAAAAGCTTAATAGCTCTTAATCAAAAGTCTAATAACGTAGTGTTCAACATTCAATAGTGTTCTAATTCTGTCTGAGCTGTGTTGTATTCTAATACAGCTCACACAGCGATCGGAATTCAAACACAGGGGGTCGGAATTACAAATTCAGCGAGTTTGAAGCACGGCCCGAAATTAGTCTCACAAAGTGCCTAATTTAGTCACACACAGCGTTGGAATGTAGGGCACAGTAGGGATTTGGTAGGTTTGCATTCTAAAGGCTTTTAAATAAATATGGCAACAGTTTGTGACGTTTCATCGTTGCTGGCGTGTAGTGTGGTGTTTTGAGTGACGTAAAGCAAACAGAACTCAAGTTGCACATACGCCATGATACGGTGATTTTTTATAGCCATTCATTTTTTGCTATGTCCTTAATGTGTTGGCAGCTGGAAACTTGGAATATACTGCGTTTACCCTACTTAAGCAAGGAAACTATATAATAAGTTTAAAAGTAGTGCCATTAGGCTAATGGCACCACAGCCATCAGCCACCACCATGGTGGCAGGGAATTATTGTGACTTGTGAGTACTTATGCGTTTGCAAGAGCATCGACCGGTCCGGCTCAGCGGGGGGGGGGGGGGGGGGGGGGGTAGGAAGGGAATAACGAAAGTCTCATTTACGACTGGACTAACCCATTGAGCAACATTTTCTCAGTTATGGTCTCATAACAACTCAATTTTAAAATATGTACAGTTTCGAAGTTGATATAAGTAAATAAATAAATATTTGAACTGGGAAATTCCTTACTCTCTTACGTTGCTTCCAGATTTATATCAATGACGTGAAAAATGACAATGACATCGGTAAAATTGGCCAAGCCATGATGTTAGAACTTCGATGTTCAAATGTTGACACTTCTGTCAAGTGTCAATATCACAATCAAAATTACTTCACAATCAGAAATGTTATAGTATCACAATCGAAAATATTATTCACAAATAACCATCGATTTCAATGCAAAACTGAACTTCCCAGCTTCATAGCTGTCGTGCTGTCAGGCGTCAGCTTTGGTTTGACGCTATATGTTTACATACGTCACAAACGGTGACGTATGTCGTCCCACGGTGACGTCATCATACAAACGAACACGTGGAGACAAAAAAAAAGCAATATTTCGCTGCACCACAAACAAATAAATGTAAATAATTGGTAATATAAAAGTTTTTCTGGAACATTTTGAGAGACTGTGCCTAAGCAGAATACGATATTAATAAATTATTAGTGAAGATAATAACAATAAAGTAGTTCATTTGATGGCCGCTGCTACTTGCTAGCGCTGGCATCTGAATACGGGTACATTCTATGGGTACAACTTCTATGATCAATTTGAATCATAAACATTTACCTAATGCAAGAAATTAGCAATCAATAATTCAACATTGTTTTGTAAGTTTTGTACCAACGGAACTATGGAAAACTACATTAATTACGTATTAGCAACTTAAGCTAAAAAAATGCACTGTAAGGGAGATCAGCTGTTAGAGAAGATGCCAGAAAGCGCGATGGATTCAATTTAGTCGTTTTTAATTTGAAATTGGTGTCAGTTCTGTGCAATAGGATCGTAAATTTCAGTGTAAAACCTATTAAAATTTTACGTTTCTGTGTGGATTTTGATGCTGTTAGCACTGAAATACTTGACAGTATCTCTGGTGCAAGAAATACTGGCTAAATACATTTTAATTTAGAAATTAAGGTCAATCGAAAATTCGAAATGACTGCTGTCAAGGCTATGTTCCTTGTTGCGAACCGATTGTTGCATCCAGTCGCTTATATTGAAAATAAAATGATTTAAGCAAGTATTTCTTGCATCAGAGATAATTCAAAGTTTGCTAATGTTAACAGCATTATAATACATGCAGAAACGTAAATTTTTTTAGAGATATTTAAAATTTAGGCTCTATGACTTGTAAGTTGTATACTATACAGTCGAATGAGTCGATAGGATTTCAAGTGGATTCATTCAAATTCAAATTCGGTCCACCACGCCCCACGGCCAGTGTAGCTGTCAGCTGACTTTCTTCAGAAGTGCAAAAGCTTTTGCCGGTGAAGGTGTTTTACGATCGGTCCGTAAAGAAGCGTTGATCGGTTCAAAATGACATAAGAACAGGTTCTTTTGAATAACCTATGGATTGCCACCATGGCCACCACTAGTTTATTTTACATAGATTATAATGTCAAACTTGAGTTAATGATTCATGTGCAACAGTGCATCAATCATCAATGCTTTACAGTTTACATAATTTCATAAAGATTCACATAATAGTAATTGATTTTTAATAATTTCTAGTGAGAAGATGTGCATTTCTTTCTGTGCTAATTTTAATGTTTTCTAACAAAATTTTGTAGTTTTTTTATTATTATTTTTTTTTTTGCTGAATCTGATTGTTAGAAAGTCATCAATCAATACTCATGAAAATGCTTTAGGTAATTCTACCTTTAAGTTAAAAGAAAGCAGGATCATATTCAGCAAATCAGCATAGTTGAGTGATTTCTAATGCTCCAAACCCAAATCCTCTTGTGGACTCAATGCAAGAAGAAACTATGCAAGTCATCCACAAAATCTTCTTTATCAAATGACTCCTTTTTTATATGGGCCAAAATCTTTAATTTAAGGCCCTTTTTATATAGTCCTGCCATCCACGGTGTTAGTAAAAACTTTTCTGACCTGAATTTTCTAGCTCTTAAACAAAACATTCCACTAATCATGATTAAAACTTTGATGATGAATCATGATGGAATTGCTTAACCAAAATTTATAACGAGCCTAAATCTAAATCAGATGAGTAGTCATGTATAATTCATCAAGTAATTCAGTGATGAACTTTTTCAGCTGATGATGGCATCGCTTTTCAAGAGAAGAAATCTGTCTTGAGCTACAAGCTGAGGCGGGAGATGAAGAAGGAACGGAAAGAAAAGAAGAAAGAAGAGAAGGACAAGTTCAGAGACAAGCCCTCCTTGAAGGGTGGAATTGCTGAATTGGTAAAATATTTGTTATAAGTTATCTAACTCCTGAAATGGTGCAAACTTAGTGCGTTTTAGGAACTTTTTGCTGGCTTGCCTTCTATTTCTTGAGTGGTTTCTATTTCATTTCAGATCTGCATTTCTTATATCACTAATTTTCATGCCACTTAATTGATTCACGCAGGGAAACAATACAAGTTGTTAAAAAATATTCCTTTTACTTTGATAAGGTGTATTGTTAAAAAGTATTTCCTATATTTTAGTACTCTATCATTATAATTGCAGTGTTAAACAATATTAATAAGTGAATTTTCTCAAATTAATTTTTGTATTGCTTTTTCTTTACAGTCGGAAATGGGAATAAAAATTGTGAATGGTCGTGAAGCTGAGGCCATTGCTCACCAACCCGGAGACTCAGATGATGATGATGAAGTTGTTGATATCAAGTCCAGCAAAGAGAGCCAACACGAATTTCAGCTACATAGGAATGCAACACGTGATCTCAAAGACGTGGGAAGGCTCACAGCAACATCACGCCATAACAGACATTCAACACTGGACCCACTGAAGAATATTCTGAAAAGTGGGACAAATGAAAATAATTTCTGACCTGACTAGTGAATTTTTTTGACCACCTTCTGTTATTATTTGATAAAAATATCCAAGTTTATTTTTTGATGGATACATATTACTTATTTGTTAATTTAAGCTAATTAAGAAAGTATTTAAATTCATTTTTGTTTGTGGTAACATAATATATTTATTTCTCTTCAGGTGGTCAAATTCCTGATGCCAATGTAATTCACATGATCAGGAAACAGAGACAGCAGGCTAGAGAAATGGCTGACTACATCCCTGTTGACAAAGGAGCTGAGAGGTTATTTTCATATTTTGCTGCCAGATTAATATACTAATTATTGACAAAACCCTTGAGAATTTGTTACACTCGCTCTGGAACTATCTCCTGATCGCAAGAATAGTTTATTAAATTATAATTATACTAAATTGACTGTAACTCACGTTGATTGAAGATTTTAGTTTTTCAAGCTACATGCTTTCCAACATGTATGTAGATGATTGCCCTCCAAATGTTTTGTAAAATCTACAAATTATATATATGACAGATACGCAGATTATTGCAATATTTTCTTATAGGGAATTCGGAATATTTTCAAACCTACTCTGAACCTTTCATGCACTGAATTCGGGTTGACCTTCCATATCTTGATTGGTTGAGAATAATGCCACTTTCTTATTGCCAATGATAATTTTTCTGAGAATTGGTCCAGGGTTATTTAATTTCTTTGTAAAAAGAGGAATGTCATGTGGCACATAGGACAATGTTAAAATGTTCAATGTATATATATTTTAGTAATAACTTCATTGAAGTATGATATTTGTTGCTTGTATAAGTTGTTGATCTACATTTTAAATTAATTTCTTGTTCCATCATATTGTTTATTCAGGGAAGAAGTAAAAGTGTCTCATAAGCCTGGTGGACGACTGATACGTGAGGAGGACAATGACAGAGATGAAGACGATGGTGGGGGAGGAGGGGATGGTCGTCTACACTTCAGTGATGTGCACTCCGGTACTGGAGGGGCCAGCGCTGGCACTAGCCTCTCGGAGGTTAAGGCTATGGTTGCTGTGGGACGCGTCCATCAGGGTAAGTGGGCTTCTTATTTAAATTTATTCTGAATTTAGAAGCAAGTTTATGTGTGTTCCTCACAATGGGTGTGATCATCTAATATTTACAAAATTTTAAATTTTTCTCAGGCTCAATGGAATATTAAACGCTTTGTGTGTGCTGTATTTACAGGGGTTTTGTGTATATAATTTCAAACATTTTGTGGTTACAGGTTCCGACGAAGAAGATCGCGTGTGGGAGACTCAGCAAATGAAGAAAGCAGCTGGCAAGGTGAGGTTTCAGATACATTACTATGATGTGTATTGTGTTATTTCTGCCGACCTTTGTTTAGTATGGATATACTTTTGTTTTCATTCGCGGAAGTGATACGTCTGTTATATTTATCTGATAAATCCCCGTGAGATCAAACATATGCCTTCTAAAAGCTCATAATTATAGTCAGTTTGCGCAACATTTATGCTCCCATCTACTATCAATTTATTTCACTTTGCAGCTGGGAGAAATGGAATTGGACGCTTCATCACGTCCAGGCTTTACATTCGGTCCTGCACCTTCGATCCCTTCATTCACATCTTCTGCAGCTGCGGTTACAAATGCCATCAACAACGGCAGCACAGGAGCTTTGCTGCCCAGCAACAGCACGCCAACACCCACCACTCTGATGGCTGCCACCGCCTTGCTGTCATCGCGGCCTGGAGCAAACTATCAGGCAGAAGGCATCATGAAGCGACTCAGGGATAGGTACTGGCAGTATTTTAGGTGTCAAATAATGAACTTCCTAACGTTTTTGAAGCTAGATTTAGATTTTTTCAGGTTCGATCTGAGATTATCCGATGTGCAAAACCGATGATAAATTAAAATGTAGGCCCGATCCTTCTTATGGCTAAGACTTTAATTTGAGTTGTCCAGTTGGCAGTCTGATCCATGGTAAGAAAACAATAAAGATATTTTGAAAACCATGGAACATATTTTCAAAAATCTAGAATGTTAATTCTACTTTGGGTCTGAACGAATCATTTAGCAAACAATTATTGGGAGTTCTTCATTTTAGTACTATTACCTACATCAAAATTATAATTTCTTGCTCATTAAAGCAGTTTATTTTATTTCTGTTAGACCCACCATTTCAAAATCTTTTCCCCTCGTTCAAGAAAAATGTTTCTACATTGCAGGCAAGTCAGAATTTCACTGCAGTCCTTGGTGATGAAGAGAAATAAGGGTTTTTAACATTGCTCATTTTGAAATATATATATATATACCTACCGTTATTATTTGTGACTAAATCATTCTACCGTCCACCTTATTACAGCTGAGCCTGGAAATTTATAGTTATGTTCATTACAGTCGCAACAGCCTGGCAGAAGTACATCGACGCCACGCCCTGGACAGAGACGCGCTGCGTGTCGAGCACGAAGAGTGCGTTGAAGGTGTGAGGCTGTGTGAACAGAAGAAGGCTGAGCTCGCGCAGACGTTCCAGTTATATCAAGCATTGCGTGGGTATGTCACTGATCTCAGAGAATGTCTTAATGAAAAGGTGGGTTAATCAAATACCATTTGAGGGCAATCTGGCTTGTATTTCCTCCTGTATTTCATGTCTATTTCTTTCCGTGAATTTCAGCGATATATTCATTATTTTATGAAAATGTGAGCACAGCAAGAAAACCAGTGTAACACTTGCAAGATTAGACAGTGATAATCCATTGTGTACTTATTACTATGTGAATGGTTCCGATGTGGGAACTGTGTGGTTGTTAATAGTTAGGCTTTAGTTCGAATATCTGCATCTTTCATGAAAATATCCACCGCCATGCAGGTTCAGGTTCTAAAAACAAATTTACATTCAGGTTAAAATACTTTTTTCTGAAAGCCTTTTTTTATGATTTTTTATGCAAGTACTTTAACCTGTTGGTATTACTTCACCGAGTTCACTGAATCACTTACTGTAATTAATTGCTTGAAACTATCATCTAGAATAAGTTGAATTAATTGGCTTGTGTTACAAAATTTCCTGCAGGTAGCTGATTCATTATGAATAAGCTGATAATTTTACTTATCTAAACTAACAAATCAAAGTAGCAAGTTAAATTAGTAGGTGGAAAGCTGATACCTATTACTTTTAAATTTAAATTTAATTTAAAACTAAGTTTTTGTTGCCGTTGGTTTAATTCATCTTCCGGTACATAACACGATGTTCCTTATCGTGGCAATTAATGTTTTTTTTATAGTCGTTCCAGTTTTCTGTCAAGCTGATGCTGTAAACCCTTGATATGATAGATCAATTTCAAGATTTCATGATTGATTAAAACTACCTGATTCAGCTCAATGCGTTCACACAAGCTACTTGTGCTAATTTTACATTTTAATTGGCATATTGCTAAGCTGCCATAGCCAATTGTGTATATATACTGTCTAAGTGACACCAAAATTCTCGCACATTACGATGTTTTTCGTCATCGATGATTCGTGTCAGTTATTTTTAGCTTTTGTTTCATATTTTCATCCTCGTTGGGTATTGTAAGTGTTCATGAATGGCGCTTAGCCAAAGGTGACCTCATAAATTAAATAATAGGTATTGTTGATTATCTGAACGTAAAGTGCGCGAAATGCGAGTGAAATTCATGTAAAAATAGAAAATGTATCAATCTTTTAAGACTTAGTTAAGTTGCCTAGGCAACCTTTGCTGACTCGGGTAAATTAAACTGTTAAAAAAAAACATAATTTAGCATGTACTGACGTGTCTGCATAACTTGTTGATCGTGGCTTCTAAGGAAACTTCTCTGCTATCATATATATGTTCTGCGCCAAATATGTATATTCATCCCTGTTTAAATTACCATTTTTTGCGTCACTCGTCCATATCATCTAGCAATTCCTAACGATCATCTCCTTTATGTCTCTAAATTTTGTGTTTATGAAATTATCTTTGCCACAAATCTGTGTCGATTGTTCTCTTAAACTCATGTGAACATTTCATCTTACTTACTATCGATGACTGTCTTGACTTTCTAAGCTATGAGAGTCCGGGGAAATAAACGGGTGTGAACAGTTGATCTGATCGGCCTCATGACCACTATTTGTGACTAGTCTAAATGCCATAAATATCTATGCATCTCTTTCAAAGGATGAACAAAGTTGTTTCCTAATTATTTGGTCCAGTTCCCTTGGGGACATGATTTCTTTGTTAAATTTTCCGATCATTTTTTAAAGTTGTAGATTTTCATTCAGATTTGTATCGTTGTGTCGAGTTGATTGGCTTTCCTTGTTTAGGAGGGATATCGTGAGATTTTTTTCGTGATGTTCTTATTCTAACCAAGTGCAACCAAACATTTCTGGCTAGACAATACCAATCACAAACATTTATTATTACGATTTTTTAGTTTAATAACAGAACATACCTTCTTGCTTCAGATGGTGGGCATTGAAGATCTGGAGCAGCGCGTGTTAACGCTCTACAAGCAACGCACCGACAAGCTTCTTGCTCGTCGTCGTCAAGATGTTACTGATCAGAACGATGAGGTCTCACCTTTTATTAGTAAGTTTAGTGTCGCCTTGCTGCGATCGTGTGGAAATAGTTTGCTGGAACCATTATGTGAGCCTTCATGCTCAAGTTGTTTGTGCTTGATAGCACCTACAACTCTAATCGCGGTGCGCTTTAACGCATCCACTCCCAGACTTTGGTTGACGGCTCAGCCACACCAGCAACAGGAATATAGAGGACTTCTCATGCTTCACCGATACAAGAAGTCTAGTTGACAACTTTAGCAGCACCATCAAAAGGAATCTAGAGGATCCATTTTGCTGCATCGATACAAGAAGTCTAATTGAATAATTTAGCTGCACCATCACAAGGAATAGATGACCTATTTTGCTGCATCGATACAAGAAGTCTAATTGAATACTTTAGCTCCACCATCAAAAGGAATAGATGATCTATTTTGCTGCATCGATACAAGAAGTCTAGTTGAAAACTTTAGCTGCATCACCAAAAGGAATGTAGATGACCTATTTTGCTTCACCGATACAAGAAGTCTAGTTGACAACTTTAGCTGCACCATCAAAAGGAATCTAGACGACGACTGCTTTTGCCGCACACAGAAGATATCTAGTTTAGGAACCTTGCTGCTCCCATCAGAAATCTTGTTGATACCATGGAGATGCTCACAAAGCCTATCCACAGCCTCGACAATTATGGCTGACATTTGCAGTCTAACTGAATTTACAATATTTTCATCTGAAAACATAGAATAGAATTAGATTGCTAATTACCGTCTGAAAATCAATTTGAAACAGTTATAATTTCCTCGTATCAATTTAATGTGTTGCATTCAAATTTCGTTAAAGGGATTGGTCATCATGTTGAGTTGGTCAGTATGAGCAAAAAACCTTGTGTATTTATTTGCAGTGTTCGAATATTTATAAACATTTAAGATAATTGTTATCTTGTCAGGGTTTGTCTTGTCGCGAAAGCCAGCATGATTGTTTTGGGCTGATAAATCATTTCGAGCAAATTATTGGGCGCCTGCAAATGTTCGAGGAAGATAATGCCAAATTTGAAATTTGTTCGGCGGCCAATATGCTAAGTCACAGTTTCTTTCCGGCAACACCTAGAATCTTTATTGAGATAGAAAGTTCTATAGATTATTTGTCTACTTGCGCAATTTGCTACAGTTATCTTGCTTAGAAAATCCTCGCGCGTCTCTATCTGCTAGATGTGGTTGCTTGCATTCGAGCAGCCAGGAGTGTATGCTTGGTGATCACCTGCCATTTACAATTTAATTATGATTCATACTGCTTATAGAAATATAGGCTACATAACGACTAGAATATACAGGGATGTTTATACTTTATTGGAATATCTACCATTATATTTGTGCTTTATTTTCATTCTAAAACATTTGTTGGTGTGAGACTGATGATAAATAATTGTGTGCATGTGTTGCGTTAACTTTTCCCTACAGGGTCATCTCTGAGGTGAGCTAAAGTAACAACTTCAGTAACATCATGTGGTGTGAATGTCATTATGTTAATCAGTAGCGTTTGAAATATTAATGTGCTTTAGTGTGCCACCTGAACTAGTAACATTTAAAAAAGTATATCAACATTTTTATCAACCTTTGTTTGGGTAACGAGAAGCTCCATTCTTGTAATTTATTTAATAGGTTACTTCCAATCACATTAAAACTGTTTTACTAGTTTTCATAACGTGTCTATTTTTGTGTTGAATAATTCTCCATCTCAGTTATGAATTAATTAATAAATTGCTATTTTCTGCTGAATCTTATAATTAATAAACTAAGTTCAACAGCTATACCTGCGTAATTTCCCTAGTTTTGCATAACTTAGCTTTTGATTACAAACTTGAAGTTTATTTGTGTATTTCGTTGCAATAAATGGTCGTTTCAACACTCGCCCACGAAGAAATTTTTCTTACATGTTCAGGGGCTTTGACACTTGCTGTTCTTCTACAGGCGAGTCTCTAAAGCAATGTCCGTTGCGTACCCGCCGGGGTGCTGAACGTGAAGGTCGTCGCACGCGTCGCCGACGTGAACGAGAGAAGCGCGGAGGCTCTGCAGCTCAGGACCATCACGACGGCACCAGCACCGACGACGAGTTGCCCACTCAGCAGCTGCAGCAATACCAGCAACAGCTCGGTCGGTCAACACATCCTAGAGCTCCCAACTGAAACTTCTACATGGAGTCATTCATGTTCGATGTGTTAGATTTGTGACTCGAAACTTAATTTAAAGTAACTAATTTAAATTTTTTTTCTCGATAAATTCCACAGAGTAATTTTTTTTACTTTTTACCCTCGCACACAATTGGTTAAAAATTACGACAAAAAAAATGAATGGATTAGAGTTTTTCCTGTTATCTCGTTAATTAATCGATTTCAATAACTCTATGTCCTACATATTTTTTTTTATATTTGCACGTTCACCAAAATTAATTATAATACTTACATTTTGTGCAGAGGCTTTATCAAAGGAGTCAGTTGAGCTTTTCTCAGATGTTGAAGAAGATTTCTGCTCTTTGGAGGCGGTCTTGCGTCAGTTTGAGAAGTGGCGCAGGGCTGCACCGCAAGCGTATGCAGACGCCTATGCTGCAAACAACATGCCTGCACTTGTCGGAGTATTTATACGGTCGGTCGAGCTGCCTTACAACTCGTGAACGATGATTGCATTTTCTTCAACGTTCAATCTGGGAGCTCATTGAGCTATTGGCCGTTTATAGAAATTGTGTGTGTGGTAATCGCGTTCATTATTTTTCCTTCAATCATAGATCGCGTTTCCATGTGTTAATTGGGGGTTTCAACGGTTGGGTGCACACTGTAATGTTTGTAGCGTTTGTATCGTATTGCTGAGTAGATACATGATACTCGCTGAGTATCGTTGAGTTTTCAGCTAGCAATAATTCTACTGAATAACAAGTTGCTTGGAAATCAACATGATGTATTGCAATACTGACATCCTATTTAAGTATATGTTTTTTGTAATGTTGCAGGTTAGAGTTGCTGCTATGGAACCCGTTGAGTGAAGGCGTTGAAATAGAGCGACAGGCCTGGTATGCGCAGCTGGCCATGTATGCCGCACCTCCAGCCTCGGCCGCCCTGACGCTACAGGAGTTTGCTCAAGACCCCGACAAGCATTTGCTTTCGAGGGTCGTTGAAAAAGTCGTGCTCGTCAAGCTCAGAGGTCGGCGCTCACGTCACGCAAAAATGATGTCAATGGCCCTTTCGAGGGAATTATTGTAGCTCCGCCAAAAAGATTGTTTTTGAAAAACACTTGTAGAGGTGTTCATTAGAAAATTTGACCTCTTGACTTTGAATCTCATCGTCTGCATTTTTTTTTCTTGGATTTTGACACCTAGCCTGTCCTTTCTCTGAAAGATATCAGGATCTGAACCCGGCGTAGCCCCGGAATAGGTTATAGCTGAAGTTAGAGAATCCCGCTTTCCCGAAGTTATTCATCAAAATGAAGTAATAGTGATAAGAGGAAGACGCGCGTACCCGTTGCATATATTTCCCATTTACCTCTGTTTTTTTTTTTAAAGTTAGAAAAAAGTTTCGAATTTTTATTACAACATAAAAGAAACAAATAGAATTCAGTGAATTAGAATGATTGCATAATTTTTATTCCAACCGCTCGTACGATCGTTCTGTAATGCTTCATGATTCGCCCGCATAAAATGTAGTTTCTCATCCTGGTGCTTCGATACCAACTATGCCAATGCCTGGCGCTCATGTTTATTTAATTGTTTACTTTCAATCAGATTTTCCAATCCCCGTACATTTACCGCACCAGGCTTTAAATAAACTTTGATAAATTGAATGATCATAAAATTGTATTAGATCATTTCCAGCCCACTAAAAACTATCGGCCTTTTCCGTTGCTATGCGGCTCAACTTTCTTTATTTGCAGACGTGGTAGTGGCTTACTGGGATCCTCTGTCGCACTCGCAAAGCGTCCGCCTTGTGAACCTGGTCCGTCATTTCTGCCAGTCTTGTCCCACTATTCGTCCCACTTCTCAGCCGCTCAAGAAGCTCTGCACTGCCGTCGTAGACAAGATTAGACAAGCCATTGACAAAGACGTCTTCATTCCTATATTCAATAAAACGTAAGACTGATTGCTACGTCTAATGAGATATTCCGATGTTCACTTTAACTCCAAGTTGTCTGCTTAGAGCCGCCTTCATTGCAATAAAAGTTTTGTATATGTGATAAAATATATTTTTATTTTATTATTCTAATTTTTTGAAATTCTGAAAATGAATTTTAATATACTCCTCAAACTCAATTTTTCAGAGCATACGAGTCTCGAACATCGTCAGGCAGTTTGTTCTTTCAACGCCAGTTTTGGGTGGCCTGGAAGTTGTTGAGTTTAGTACTCATGTGGCATAAAATTCTAAGTGAAAACTCGATATCAGATCTGGGGATCAGGAGCATCCTGAACTTGTACCTTATTCCTGCATTAAACATCGCAGCCCAAGTTAACCTCAAGGACGGTCTTGAGAAGGCTAAATACGTGAGTGATTTTCCGTATCCAAAACTAAACGAAACTGATAAGCTTTAAAGAAATCTTTAGTTTTTAAATCTAATGGAGCATCCAATAGAGCATGGCGAACTTTTATCTGTAGTATTGTTGCAATTTATTCTAATAAAATTAAATGCTGTATTATTTGGTTTTACCTGGAGTAGTTATTTTAAGTTTTTTTGCACTATTCTTCACGTAACGGCTGCATTAGGATTATTTAATTGAAAAATTGACGGAGCCGAAAGTTACAAAAAGGGAAACGAACTCCCCGTGACTCGTTTATATATTTATTTTCCTTGGCTGATTTTGCGCCTCATGATGTAGATTAGTCTAAGGGTCCTTTTGAATTATTCCTTCAGGTGATTCAGGCCATGCCCAGGGAGTGGGCCAAACAAGAGAACTCTGATGGCAGCGCTCACATCTTTCTTTCAAAGCTGGAACATTTTTTGGCTTCAACTGCTCAAAAAACAGCCGACATCGCGTATACCAATGACCCTCATGTGAGTTGAAATAGATATGTTTTTAGTGCGTGCTTGTAAGTTCGCTTGAGCAAGTTCATGTAATTGTAATCCGAACTTCTTTGTCCCCTTGTCTATTTATGTTTCTTTTACTTGAACACGCATCGATTTCTGTATAATGATATGCTCAATATTATCCCGGCTATTTTATTTTAAGGCAATTGTTTACTTAGCATGTATTCGTACAGATTCAGCCTCTATTCGAGTTAGATGCGTGACGACTGTAGTCAGACTGTAGTCATGATTTGTTGTTTAATTTTTTGTTATAATTTGTTTCACCTGCAGTGGGATGACGCACTTCAAGAAATACGGAAGCTTCTCAAAAGTATTGGTGCTTCGCGAGCGGCTTCTGAAATATCTGCAAAATACCTCACAAAAAAGGAAAAATCTGAAGACTAATCACATCCTTTCTATATTTCTCTTGTGAGCTCAACTGAAGTCGAGAATGAATAAATGTATATGGGTTATTTAGGAATTTTACAATTTATTTTGATAAGTGAAATTTATGTCCCATGTTCACAAATTATCCTTCTTTGTGAAAACATGATAGATATTGGAGACCTCGTCGACGCGGATTATTTTTATTATTCGTTTTTAAAATGAGTAAAATATTACGAATGAATCATTCACATAACGGCAATTTGCTGGTTATTTGTTATCTGTGCACAATAATTGTCAAAAAAATCTAATTATATTTGACAGCTCCTCACATTCTTGTGGCAGTACTTGTTAAATCTAAATACATAGCTTCTTTTTCGATTTTTGAATCGAAAAAAAAGATTGAGAAAATCTTTGTGTGTCTTTCGGTCAATAAGCGACTTGTAAAATTATCAACAGACTCGGGGTATTGGAGCCTTGGAGGTGTGTTATGCTTTGACTGATCATTTATTCACATGTTTCGTTGTTGAGTGTATCCACTTGACATTGAAATAATGATGTCCTGAAAGGATGCAGATCTCAAACTGATTCCCTGTTTTCATTCCCCAGCCCATAGTAACTCACGAACATAGCTTCACATGTGTGTTTATTTTTACTACTGAAGTACGGTTTCGAAGCTCTTAAGGTGTTTTACTGTTATTCGGTAAATATACTTAGACCGGTTTGAAGCTCAAAACAGGACTTTTTCGCTAGGTATCGGTAAATTTCTGCCCTCCTGCAATGACAGTAAAAGTACTTATTTCGTCCACGCCGTATGAGCTTCAACTTTAGAGTTTCGGAAATCTGTAACGCGAAAATCCAGTCGCTAGTTGCTATCGAGACCTTATCGACCATCGACAGTTTTGATAGTACGCCAAATTCGTTTGTTTTACGGTTGTGATCATTTGACTTGAAATTCCACTGCCATCTGTACGCGGAGGACAAAGTTTATCAAGATTTAAATGCTGTGTGGATTACGATTTTATTAATTACGATTTCAGATGCAGTGTAGTGTAAATACGAATGCAGTGTAGACCACCACATTGATTGCAACCGCTGTCATGGTTATAGGCTCACATCTTTCCGGTCATTATTTTCATCCGAAAGATTCATGGCCTAATTAGATACTTAATATTACTAGCTGGTTTTTATTCCCTACTGTTTTACCAATGCATGACGCGTTCGTTAATATATGTTGGCCATCTTCGATATTTTTTCATTTCGATTCATTATTTACCCATAAATTAATTTTCCTATCATTCAGGGATGGCCAAAATGTATTCATAGCCCTACTAGTGACCATTCATTTTCTTCTATGTTCAAAGCCCGGTTTGTAAAAGTTCACAGAAAAAATGTACATCGTCATGTATCGTTAATTCCTGCATAAAAACTTAGAATGAAGCGAAGATATACGCAAACATGGATGACACGAAGATTTGCGGAATGGAAGAGGGTTTTCAATACCGGTAGAATTGCGATTTTGATTACAGTTGTTCCTCCGATATTCTGTCTACTTGAAATAGATTACATTAACTACAGTGTGCAACTAACAAGCCAACGAATATATTCAAGGACGTATCCTAGGACTTTCAAGGACTTATAAAAGATGACTTTGGCGCTGAAGCGACCTTCACTTGAGCAACTCAACCGTCTAACACGGTTCCAAAGTCCAACATCCCCGAAATGAAACTTTTTGCGTCTTGAAGTTGCTAGGAATTAACTTCAAATTTTTTAAACGTACCTTGGGATGTCTTATCGTAATTGTAGAGTCCTGGCTCTGCATATGCATAATTAGCTGCTTTTTTGCGCGTTATAAATTTGATATTGTTATTTATTTAACGAACATTGGTGTAACAGTTTGAGATGTCCGCTGGTAATTTCATATGTAACTGGCCTGCAGCGTGACTGCTCAAAGCTCAATTCGGGAAGTGTAGGGGTCAAATACCAAAACCTATCTTTAATTTTAGGCATATTTTGTTTGTCATAGTTGTGATACGTACATCGGAAATCATATGTATGAGCATAACAGAGTGAAAGGCCACTTTTAACAACCTCTAAAATTTCAGCAAGGCATTGTGATCTTAGCAACAAGCGTTTTTTTTATTACAGCTCCTACCGAATCTAATATGCATGAGACAATGTAAATACACGTTGGCAGTGGACAGGTAGAATCGAATCGGCAGGAATAAGTTGGTACAGCTGACATCTCGAGACTTTAATAAAATTATTTAATTAATTTTTGAACGCTTATTTGCTACCACCGCCCAAGCAAGACAGTAAAACTCAAGAAGAGTTATTGTCATTGGATCAGAAAGCTAGCAGAATGCGCTATGAAGGTAGCAACAGAAGTCTGAGTCGAGACTAGTCCTGCCAGTTTTTTTTTTTTTAGGAGAGCTCGATGCAGGTACATACGAGGGCAGTCATGCGACCATCACGTGCTTCGTTTTTCCGGATGTCTCCGGACAAAAAAAATCTCTTTTCCTCAGATGCCATAATACTTTTTTCGCCTTTGATCGAAATTGACCCTGGGTGATGAGTTTACTTTACAAAAGCAAAAGGGTTTTCTGAGCTCACCAACCTCAAATTATGTAAAAAAAACATGCATGCATCAGGATATATGATTCTTGCTCACGTCTCCCAGCCCATGGCGCTGAAATTTAAGGCTTTTGAACGCATTAAATTAGTATATCCAACCTTAATTTCACTTGAAGACAGAAATCGATCCGGTAGTAGCGTTCGGCTACTATTTTTGGATACAGAACATTTTGCTATTTCCATTTTGCGTACATTTGTATGAGAAATATAAGAACTCGAAGAGACATTTTTCTTCTTGTGCAAAAATGTCTGAAACCTATTAATGGATCAAAAAGTCAAACGGAATCTGAAAGCACACTCATACAGATTTAATCCCTTCAAATTTATTTCGAAAATGGTATACGATATTTTACCGTTACATCAGAAATTAACAATCATTTACTCTACTAACATTATAAAACATAGGGCATGCACGCCCGAGATCATGGACGGTTTAGGGCAGTATTCGATTCCTGTATTCACCCGCTTAGCTTAGTTACGCCTTTCATGAGAATTAGTCGGGATTACTACTTCTATGGGGAAGCATGTCGTACGATAGCTTTCATGGAATCATAAGTGACAATGCAGCTTTTCTAAGAGCTGTTCGAATTTCAACAGTGAGCGGTGAGACCACCAATTTATTTCGTGGCAAATGATCAGAGGACGGTCATCTACAAGGCTGGCTCAAACTGGATCGAGAAACAGGGAGGCACGAGAATTGGTCATTTAGCTGCCCCGATTCCAGGAATTGATCATTTCAGCGGGGTTAAATACAACCACATAACCTCTTGTTAAATTGTTATGAGGTCATTAATAAAACACAGAAGTAAGATTATTTCTATTACAAAGAAAGGTCACTGACTGTTTTTGATACCGTACCCAATCAAAAACTACGACCTTTCGTATCAAGACGGTTTATTTCGCAAATAAGAGCTCTGAGAAGTGCGGTTTTTGTATTGAGCCGAGGAAACGAAATTACGTGTTGGGTCAAAGCTAGTTCGTGTGGGATGCAGCTAGGTTCTGCAATTAAATTAACAGAAAAAACTCGTTTAAATCAGAACGGTCTGCTTCAATCTGATCTCCGTCGCTTAAACATTAATTTAGACCCCCATTCGGGAGTTGGAACGGAAAGAGGGTCTGCCTTTTTTCCCTCGAATCTTCAGGTGCATGGAGCGTGGTCGACGAGCACGTGATCATTACACTGCGTACGAAAAATCTTGAAGCGTAAACTTCCAGCAGTGTTCAAACATATGAAAATTTGAACTAGGGTAAAGATTTTATTCAGTCCCATCTTATTAAAAATTTCTCAATGAGAACGTCAATATCATACAGTTGAATTTATTCACAATGCAAAAGCGTCCTCTAGCGGCAATCGGCACTCGCATTGCTCAAGTTCTGAACAAAAACGCTCAAGTGCTGCTCCTTCCAGCGAACGAGTTGCTTCTGGTGCAGAGTTTTTTTTTATGTCTGTCTTCTAGCTAGTACAAGATTTAGCCTGTTGAATGCCCGGGTGTGCTTGGCGGCTGCATGTCTCGTTCTGTCGCTCATCTCTTCAGTTTTTCGCCGACTGCAGAACTGTCCGGATAGGGGTGCACTAGCAGAGTGTTGATTGTACGAATTCAAGTATCGGCGTTTTTTAAAAGTCGCAAACGATAGCCATTTTGCCCCATATCGTATTGATATATATTTATATATAAAGTATTAACCCTTATGCGATTTAATCTGAATATTTGATGGTGATTAGTTAGTTTTTTTAATAAATTGTCTTTTTATTAAATTAATGTTTTACATTAACAATATTTTAAGTAAAAGTTTTAACCTTTCATATAGTTCCACGGCGTTAATAATATCACTTTTTTGCACATGATATTGCTCGTACTTAATGGCTCCTAGCAGTTGAACTTAAAGACAATGACGAGGCTAGTATCGAAGTCTTGGTTTCATGAATGCAGCTAATTTCGTATTATTGCGTTATTCCTGAGACGTGACTCAAATAACGGAGTTGGTGTACCTAGACGGACTGTAATTTTCACTCTTTAACGTCGAGGCAGTTCTGAACTTATTTGCAGATTGTGATCACTCCTAAGCCCATCAAAAAAATATTACAGCATCAATCTACGGCTCAGTGGACAGTAGTTAGTGATTTCTGATGAAGTTTTCGTTTAGTGTTGAAATCTTTTACGTAGTAATATAATAAAATTACTATGAGAGTGTCAGCAATGGAGTCGCCGAAAACAAGTTCTCCGCTTCAAAGTGAGCATATGACCTAACACGTTGAGTGCCGCACGACCCACCGGTGGGTTGCAGGATCTTTTTTCCGGACAAATTCCGCGATTTATGTATTTTTATTTTTTTTCAATTGCGTCTGTCGACAAAACTTCTGATAGCAGAACTACCCCCATTACAGTTTGAGAAATACGAAAAAATATAATTTAATTTTTGCTCCAGAACCTACCAGTTTACTGGTATATTATGGATTATTGGCCTTTTTATCCGCGGACTTGGCCGTTTTAGGCCATCTGGCAGCGCTGGTGGGTCGCGCCGCACTCAACGTGTTCTTAAAATTACGTCTCACAGTCCAACCCTAATTCTACTTAGAGGCAGAAGTCGATCTGGTAGTAACATCCGGCTACTATTTTTGGATACAGAAAAGGGTGCTATTTCCATTTTGTGTATATTGGTATAAGAAATATAATGACTCAAAGAGACATTTTTTCTTCTTGTGCAAAAATGTCTGAAACCTAATAAAGAATCGAAAAATCAAATAGAATCTGAAAGCTCGCTCATACAGATTCAATCTCTTCAAATTTCGTTCAATAGAGGTTTATGACATTTTATCGTTACAACAGAAATTAAGAAGCATTTACTCTACTATCATTATAAAACATGGTCATGCTCGACCGAGATTATATGGACGGTTTAGGGCAGAATTCGAATCTTGCATTCACGCGCTTAGTTACGCCTTTCATGAGAATTAGTCAGGATTTTCACTTCTATGGGGAAGCATGTCGCACGATAGCTTTCATGGAATCATAAGTGCCAATGTAGCCTTTGAAAGAGTTGTTCGAATTTCAACAGTGAGCGATGAGACCACCAATTTATTTCGTGGCAAATGATCGTCCGACGGTCAGCTACAAGGCTGGCTCAAACTGGACCGAGAAACAGGGAGGCACGAGAATTGGTCATTTTGCTGCTGCGATACCAGGAATTGATCATTTCAGCGGGGTTAAATACAACCATAAAAACCTTTTGTTCAAATGTTATGAGGTCATTAATAAAACATAGAAGTATGAGTATTTCTATTATAAAGAAAGGTCATCGATTGTTTTTTATACCTAAACAAAAACCACGACCTTTCGTATCAAGACGGTTTATTCAGCAAATAAGAGCTGTGAAAGGTGCAGTTTTTGTATTGAGCCGATGATAAGAAATTCCGTATTGCGTCAAAGCTAGGTCGTGTGGGATGCAGCTAGGTATGCATTCTGCGATTAAATTAACAGAATAAAATCGTTTAAGTAAGAATGGTCTGCTTCAATCTGATCTTCGTCGCTTACACAATAATTTAGACCCCTTCCGGGAGGTGGAACGGAAAGAGGGTCTGCCTTTTCCCCCTCGGATCGTTTGGTGCGTGAAGCGTGGTCGAAGAGCACGTGATCATTACATTGCGTGCAAAAATATTTAAATAATAATAGCGGTTTCAGCATTTAGTAGGCCTGTTGCCGATTCTTAACATCGCAGAACATTCACAGCATTTCCCGGTATCGAACTCGAGACTCACTGCTACAATTCTACTGTGCTTAACCGCCCTGCCTCATCGCCGTTTCTGACCAGAAACTATCGCAGCTGGGATCGAACCCGCGCTTCTCTGCGCCAATCTTGGTAGCCTACTCCGAACTGTAACCACTGGGCCACCACACTAAAACGCCAAATCAGCAGTGTTCAAACATCCGAAAATTTGAACTATGGTAGAGATTTTATCGATTCATATCTTCTTAAAAATTTCTCTATGAGAACGTCGACATCATACAGTTAAATTTATTCTCAACACAAAAGCGTCCTCTGGCGGCGATCAACACTCGCATTGCTGAAGTTCAAAACCAAAGCGCTCAGGTGCTGCTCCTTCCAGCGAACGAGTTACTTCTGGTGCAGGGTTTTTTTTTTTTGCATCTGTCTTCTAGCTAGTACAAGATTTAGCCTGATGGGTGCCCTGGTGTGAGTGGCGACGGCATGTCTCGCTCTTCTCTTCACTTTTTCGCTGACTGCAGAACGGTCCGGTTTGGGGTGCACGGCTGTGTTGATTACGCGTGTTAATTGATGCCGAATTGGAGGAGTATCAGCGATTTTTAAGTCGCAAACGATAGCTATTTTACCTCACATCGTATTGATATGTATAGAGTACGGGTATCACTCCATATATAATTTAATCTCAATAAATACTGGTAATTAATTAGTTTTTTTTATAAATTGTATTTTTGAATTAAATTAATGTTTTTACATTAATAGTACTCCTAGTAAAAGTTTGAAACGTTCATACTGTTCCACGGTTGTCATGTCAGTTATTTGCTCAAGATATTCCTCGCACTTAATGGCTACTAGCAGTTGGAGACAATGACGAGGCTAGTGTCGAAGTCTTGGTTTCATGACTGCAACTAGTTTCGTATTATTGCGTCATTCCTGAGGCGTGACTCAATTCGCGTGTCTGGTATAGACGGACTGGAATGTTTCACTTTAAAGTCGACGCAGTTCTGAACTTATTTGCAGATTGTGATCACTTATAGCCCATCCAGAAAATATTTCATTATCAATCTTTGGCTCAGTGGGCAGTAGTTAGTGATTTCTGCTGAAGTTTTAGTTTAGTTTCAAAATCTTTTACGTAGTAATATAATAAACTTGCTATAAGATTGTCAGCAATGGAGTCGTCTAAAACAAATTTTCCGCTTCAAAGTGAGTATATGACCTTAATTTGCATGCGCTCCTCAGTCTCCCTTTCAGTTTTTGCATGACATTCTCTTGTGATTCTGTTTTTTTTTTAAATTTATTGTTGGGCATGCGAAAATCAAACTGCGCCAAGCTTCGAACTCACACGCACACAAGTTGACAAATAAGAGTATCAGTTACCCAGTCGCCAATTTAACAAAATTTGTATTAATTGGATCAGCTCTTGATCAATCTCTTTTGAATAAAATAATTCAGGTCACGAAACGAAATGTAAAATTTAGCTACGCCGTGTAAAATTGTTGTTGTACCACCAAGCAAATCATCGAGAAACCATTGCAAGAAGTCTATCATTGTTTGAGAAATGACGCCTAGGTAGCTCATGAATGCTACGTGTCATGCCTGTATGAGTGACTCCCCTGTGGTGCGGCCGTCTCAGGAACTAAGGCTGGTCTTGCACGCGGGAAAGCGAACTCGGCAGTCGTGACTTTGTTACACGCAGTGTTGGGTAGTGTTGCAAATGTGCATTCAGAGCTTGGTGATCTCCGTACATTGATGTTTGTAAAGCTTTTGTTTACTATTTTAATAAGAATAGGGTAATCATCACAATAGGTGAACTTGGTGAAGCATTGGTGCAGGTTAATTTCATCATTTTTTGCTTACAAACTATATGTGTTGTTCTAGAAGTACACAGGTATGTACTAATATAATGTACTTTCTTGATAATGAAACGCGGACTTAACTGAAACTTGGGTAAAATTTAATGAATAGGTATACTCAATTCATCCATAAATTCTACATGCCAATCGTTAATTGTCCAATTTTTAAGATAATAGTCACCGCGATACAGCTCTGCCTGGCGCCTGCTTACGTCATCTCACTGCAAGACCTGCGTGTCGACTGTTGTGTGCTCACCCAAGGGAACACAGTTCAACTTGAATAAATTAATAAAGACGCACAAACTTCGAAATTTTTAAGCAATGTAGGTACGGTATGTGACGATCTCAAAAAGCAGGTTAGAAACCCACTAAAAATGTTTGCAAGAAACCTAACTTACGTTGCACGGAGACGTAAGTTAGGTTTCTTGCAAACATTTTTAGTGGGTTTCTAACCTGCTTTTTGAGATCGTCACATACCGTACCTACATTGCTTAAAAATTTCGAAGTTTGTGCGTCTTTATTAATTTATTCAATTTTTTATTACAACACTTCTCTTTAACTTCACTTCTTGTTGTTTGTATGTTCGTTTGTCCGCCACAAATCTTATAATCGATATTTAACACACTTTTGCCTGTCCAATCGATCTGAAATTTTGCACACTTGTGTGAGTTGTGTAAAGTTGGAGACAATGCATGAATCATGTGTCAAAATAAATGATTTTAAAAATTATTTTTTTTTCAATATTAAAAAAATTAAAAAAATAATTTTGTCAGCTACAAATCTTATAACTAACTGATTTGACACACTTTGACTTGTCTAATTGTTCTGAAATTTTGCACACTTGTGTGAAGTCAGAGGCAATGCATGAATCAATTAACAGAATAAATAATTTTGAAAAAAATTATATATTGAAAAAAAAATTGAAAAATGAATTTTTTTAATATTTGAAAATTAAATGAGAAATTCATTGTACATATGCAAGATTGGAGACACTGGATTCTTTGGAAGTGTTGTCTTTAAAAAGTAATTTGTAAACGTATATTATTTTAGCTATGCCTACCTACCTTAGGTAATAATTTGTTCAGTCACTAGGAATTGCTGCTTCCTACTTATTCTATTCTAAAATATTTTAATGGTACCGAAGATTGGGGAGAATGCTAAACTTAGGTTATTCTGCTGCTTGTGGTTTGAGATGAGAGATCTGACTAGACATGATGTAGTGGTTCTAGATAGTCGGGTAGGAACGATGAACGAGTGCATTCAGACGTTGATAGACTGACAGTAACAGATAAAGGCACATAATTGCCATCGCATTAATATTTGACCGAAATTGAAAAAAATAATGTATCCTCGACATTCAAATTGAAAAAAATAATGTATCATTCAGAACTTCATCCGTGTGTTTTTCATTTGCAAACTGCATCTGATATATGTAAATGATTCTATTAACTCATATTGTAAATTTCAATAAACTCTTCTCTAGAATATTCTCTCACCAAATTCTTTATCCCTTATCATTTTTCAACTAGATAGCCTGTGTTGTTACGATTACTCACACATATAATTTTGAATTGTGCAGGCGCGAGTTACAGCGTGGCAAATACCTCTTACAAATTCTTGGAAACTATTTGGGGTAAAAACGAACACCAGTTTCTACTGGTTGGCAGTCCACCCGGGCCACGGTCGTGTCATTTCTCCTCGTCGCACATCACCAACTTGCTGCCGGAACATAATTTTTTCGTTTCTGGCCCTCCAATCCCGCCGATTGGACGCAGCAACCTCACCGCGTCGTTTCTCGGAGGCAAGGTTACGTGTCCGCCTTCTCCGCAGAAGTCTCCTTCTTTCTCGTTCAATCTGGAAAAAATGACTCAAATTGCGCGAGAAGCTGCCGTGGATCTTGCTGCAGGGTCAGCCGGTAAGAAGATAAAGCCAGAGTGGACGGGGATCTTTTTTGTAGGCTATAGGGTACGTACAGATGCAAAAAAAATTGATCCAGGCACGGAAGCAATAGCTATTGTCTCGTATGTTGCTTCCGTGCCTGCTGCAAGACGAGTCAATGCGGCTATTTAATACCGTTGAGGACTGGTCAAGCATGAAATGGTATTAGTCTTGGAAATAAATTTTAATTGTTTGTTGGTGCTCATTAAATAGGTCGTCGTAACAAAATTGCATCACTAATTTGGAATACTGTCTCCTGATTTCGTTAAAAATTATAGTTTGAATTAAATATCACAAGTTGATGCCAGTAACATTACTGATATGTCTAAATTTAAGCCATGTCACTGGAAGGTATCATTGAAATGCAGCGTTTATTTGCATCCGTATTTTTTTAAACACTAGCTTGGGTACTAGTACTTTTGCCGTGTTCTGTACCAGATTTATTTATCTTTAAACACCACGTTTTTTAAATTCGTCACCATCTGACTGGCTGAGAGTGATCGCGTATGTCTAATTTGAAACTCTGAAATATTTTCTATATTTCGTCAAGACGATATTTGAATAATTCACAGGGCCTTTTATTTGATGAGTGCTATTTTAGTTTAATTTCAAGGATGTTAGGTCTCTCGATCATCCTTAAAATGTTCCGGTGTTAAACGTAACTACGTATTCATAATTCCTTGAGTTCAATAACTATTCATAATTAAATTAAAATTAAATTGTGAAATATACTTCTTCGCAAATAAATTTCCTCTTTAGAAAAACGAAGATCTGCTTTAAAAAAAATCATTTTAACTTTATTTATTCATAACAAATAGGTGTATGCAAACAATTTTCATTTCATTGTTCGTTTGCTGTTCGAAACCTCATCACTGCTTTGGTAAAGCATACACAGCGTCATTGATACTTTCTTATAGAGTACTTTGTCGGTTTGTCCCTTAGGTGCCATGGTATCCGTATACGCCGGCCAACCCTTGGACACCGTCAAAGTCAAGATGCAGACATTCCCCGCCATCCACAGAACGATGCTGCAGTGCTTCCGTAACACCCTGCACAAGGAAGGCATTCGGGGGCTCTACGCTGGTACTGTTCCTGCCCTAGCCGCAAATATCGCTGAAAATTCTGTGCTCTTCGCTGCGTACGGCATGTGCCAGAGAGCTGTTGCTCTGTCCACCGGTGTCAAGGTGATGATGATGGCCTCGCCATAAGAAACTGTTTAGAAAACATACACAGCCAAGTCATTCCTGTGGACGATGACAATTTCTGAGAGATTGGTTCAGTGTTATTAGGCGCTGCGTAAACTTGTAAGACATTCTAAGAAATCGTGGTGAGCGACTGCGATATCTACGAAGCGTAATTTCCATTAGGAATTATTTTTATGGCATTTTATGGCTACTGCTAATCTTAAGACTTGCATTCTTTCATTGTGATAAGAGTTGGGTGTATCATTATCATGAGTAATGTCTATCTACATACAGAACATCAATCTCGTCACTCATACTTAAGATCTATTATGATCAATTCATTTTTTTAGCGTAGCTGCCTGAATGTGGAAAAAGTTTACCCCCGCCCGCTAAAAATTCATTGCGCATACACGCCCCGGCTTCCAATCACCTGGGGCGTGTATAGGGGGAATTAGCGCCTCCCCCCCCCCAAACCTGTTGCGCTAGTGCTGCTCAACTAGTTTATGATCATGAATCGCTGAACACCTCACAGTTATTTTAGGGTCATCTATTAAATTTTATTCCGGCAGCAGGTTGGTGATGTGCGACGAATAGGAATGACACGACCGAAGGTTCATTGACAAAACTTGGTTCCCAATTCGCTTCGTATTTCTCGAATTCTCACTATTTCTAAGCCAGACCAGTAGCAAATATTAATTTAATGTGCCCGAAATATTGTGTTTTTTTATTAATATGTATCTCTTCCAGGGCCCAGAAGAGTTGTCGAGCCTCGGCAACGCAGCATCGGGATTTTTTGCAGCATTCTTCTCCTCACTGACGCTGTGTCCAACAGAGCTCGTGAAGTGCAGACTTCAGGCAATGAGGGAACTCCAAGAGATCACCGGCTGCTCAGTAAGAATAAATCCCAAAATTTTTCTTACATTGTAAAAGGTGACTTATAAAATGAAAATAAGAATTTCTCCTTGATGGTTGTGATGGATTAAAGCTGTAGAATTCCCCTCAGACCTGTCAGCTGGAATGTTCGCGTGAACGTTTTGAGACAAATTTTTGCAAAGATTAGACGCAATGCTAGTTGGAGAAATTATAACTCAGAGAAATGAGTGAGACTCTGAATAATGAGGCACGTTTTGCTCTTGTATGGGTGAACCATGTTGACCCTAACTGGCTTATCCGAATCGTAATTTTAACATGTCACTATCTGGGCAACATAACCTTATTCCTTTTCTGTATGTACGTATTTATCATTGTTTATTATTTATTAATATTCCCTATCTATTAACACATATTATAGAGGACCATTAAATTCTTCAGCCGCGCTCTAACAAGAGCCTGGGCCCGTGGACCGTGACTCGCTACATCCTCTCTACGGAAGGCGTGCCAGGGCTGTTCCGAGGCCTGACCGCAACCTTCGCCAGGGAGATGCCGGGATATTTCTTCTTCTTCGGCGGCTACGAAGCTACACGTACATTCCTTACCAAAGACGGGCAAACCAAAGACGACATCGGTGTGTACTGAGTACAGCTACAGCAATTAACGATACTTCTTACTATTATTCATCTTAATTCGTGTCTGAACTGCTTGACATAAGTTACACAACCACGTTCTCTGTGCGTAATGATCATGTCCGTATAACGAAAATTGCAAATTGTTTTCTCAACTGATTATGATTTGGTTAGGCATTCCTAAGCACAAATTAATTTTCAATTTTACGACGTTCAAACTCATTTAGGCTGGAAGCCAAGTTTCGATGTGTAAAGTCAATTACCCGTTTCTGTTAGAAATATCCTTAAATCACTGTTAGAATGAATTCGACGCTTTAGCTATTGCAGGAGATTGTTTGAATAGCGACAAAGAGGCTTTCGTGCTGCAACTTTATGAATATAAAGTACCTATAAAATACTGAGCATCTGGGTGGAAAGTTCAAGTGACTTTCCTTACTCACAATTAGGGTTCAAGCGGACCCTATTTTTCACGGAAATAGTCTCCTAAGAAGATCAAATAATTTCATTCAGAATCCCATTTTCTCTTATCATATCACACTCATTGGATCCAAATGTTTCGATTTTCAATCCTCCTCAATGTTAAGTTTGTTCATTATTGTGCAGGGCTCCTGAACACATTCATTTCTGGCGGCGTGGCGGGCTGTGCGCTGTGGACGGCGATGTTCCCTACCGACCTCATCAAGTCCAGAATCCAAGTGGCCGGCGACACCTCGCCTATGTGGCGGGTTGCCGTCGACATTTACCGCACTGAAGGTGAGCGGGTGATGGGGTTGCCGTCGTCTTATACCGCACTGAAGGTGAGCGGGTGATGGGGTTGCCGTCGGCTTATATAACTTATACCGCACTGAAGGTGAGCGGGTGATGGGGTTGCCGTCGTCTTATACCGCACTGAAGGTGAGCGGGTGATGGGGTTGCCGTCGGCTTATATACCGCACTGAAGGTGAGCGGGTGATGGGGTTGCCGTCGTCTTATACCGCACTGAAGGTGAGCGGGTGATGGGGTTGCCGTCGACATTTACCGCACTGAAGGTGAGCGCGAGTGTTGTGGTGCCTTCTATATTTACTGGACGGAAGGTGAGCGGGGGATGAGCTTGCCACAAATAATTATCTGATTAAACGCTAGCAGAAGAGGGAGCCGAGTTCAACGTTTAAAGATGGAGATAAAGGTATACTTTGTATGATTACCAATTCAGTCTCAAGGACATATAGATAATTTTTAATAATAAAGTGATTTTCGATTCTAACTGAGGTGTTAGTCACATTCACCACCATGTTGTCTCACTGGTAGGATACTATTTTTATTGAAAACTTATTCTACCTTTTTCGTAAATGCAAGTAGGGTATTATCTGTACCGAGAAGTTTCTCGTCATTATATCCAAGCGAAATTTCCTCGTCAATATATAAAAACTTGCTTGCTGTGATGTTCTAGTAATTTCTACGGTATGGGCCAGTTTTGTTGGCCATGATGCAGCAAAAATTTGCATTCTGAATTTCCCAACTTGACTAAGTACTATGGCCGGCAGTGTACGCTTACGGGTGGTCAACATGCAATGAATATAACGAATGACCTCAAAATTCGGCAATTAATGCACTCGTTCGTGTATTTTTTCAGGTTTAATGGCATTCTACAATGGATTGAGGCCAACGTTGATACGATCTTTCCCTGCCACGGGACTGTTGCTTGTGACCTACGAGTATGTCAAGAAAGCCATGCAGTCACCGGAACCCGCGTAATTGTCTTAAGTAATCCGTAGAAACTTTTATAATTTATGATAAGTGGAAGTGTAACACAGAGTTTAAGATAGGGTCTCAGATTTAATTCTAAACTTCATTCCGTTCATGAAATAGTGCATTAAATAAATGTTAATTTTAAACATTTGTTCGACATTCACGTTGATTGTATTGAATAAATTATGTGTGCAATGGGTAAGCGTTTCAAAATATGCGTACTAGTCTCAACAAGTGTATCCTGCTGCTGCAATATGGGAAACGAAATGTTATAGCATGAAATGTATGTTTTCATATTTTAAAGGAAAAAGAAGTGTCGTATTTATCCTCCTCTGTGTTCATACTTAAGTTAAGCTCTCTCTGCTGCCGTATGAATGAACGTGATGGTGTATTATATATTATTTTCAATAATAAAATAATTTTTAAGAAGCTCCTTTGTAAAATAAAGTTTATAAAACTAAGCATTTGATATGAACTACAAGTAAATGGATGATTCGTAACTAAAATCGTGTTCGTCTTTGTTGTAGGTCTTAGACGGTTAAAGTTGCTTGCGGTTCATAATCATGTGTTTGGACTGATATTTAAATTTTTCTGCGATTTGATTATATACAATTAGCCATGTTGTCAGTTCTGTGCTCTCTGTTGACATGCACGTCTTTGTCAAGGACCTATTGAGCTGAGTTTGCTCCTCACTGTAGTATTGTTAATAATCACGGCTGATAAACAAGAAACGTTTGATGGCATTTATCATTATGATCATGGTGCCTGCTGATGCTGTTGATAATATTGTAATGCTGAGCATACTTCAACACTTGATGAAAAATTATAATACAACCCACGTATGTTCATAAATATTCGTGCCTGTTTGCAACATTCTTCGAGAGCAAACCATTCATAAACAAGACAACATTCGTGAGTAAAATGAATTTTAGAAAGCGAATACTTTAATTTGATTCGACCTTGCAAATCACATTCCACTGTGTCCGAGCAAGCTGTTATATATAGAAAGCCGCGGTGACCGTTGCCAGGCATCTTAATATAGGCGACGCATCCCCGCGTCTGTTGTTTGTGTTGCCCTATCTTCCGAATGTTGTTGAGTTTTTCTTCTAACAAACACGGCTGGTGATGGCGTAATTTTGATTTTTTTTTTGGCCACAAACTTGAATTGTAACTGTAAAATATCGCTTAGGAACGTTATTCTATCTTTAACATTTACCCGCATACGAGTCACTGTATTGTAAATATTGATTTTTTACTCTGTTTTCCAAGCTCTGCATTCTATATTCGAGACCATAAAATGTTCGATTAAGTTATGTCACGCGATGAGGATGACTAAGGTAAATTATTGTACACGACCACCTTGAGAGTAAGTCATGACTGATGACCGTACGCCCGTTAGGTGTGTAAAATAAACGATGTTTCTGCATTAAGTTAGGAATAATATAAAGTTTGAGCTACGTTATTTGTTTACAGCCGTGTGAGTTGAAATGCGACTAATTTTTTTTTACTGTTTTTGATCTCTCTTTTAAACGTGCAGTAACGTAATGTTGATAGCCAGAAAACGAGTGAATTCATCTCTGCGAGTTCTCGCACGTCAATAAAATTCCATTCGAGTTGATGTGTCACTTGATTAGACTATTGACTTTAGTCGAGCCCAAAAATAGAAAAAAATACAATAATTACGTTTTACAAAATTAGTTCCATCATATTACTTACAAAACTAAATAAGTTAATTTCTGAAAATTTGATTAAGCTTATAACGCTTATCCAAATAAACGTGGGTTAAGAACTATGTATTCGCTTCATTTTTAATAAATCTTTTCCATAAATGATGTCTGCAGTTTTCCCGTAATTTTGATTCGTGAACGTGCACTGAGTACGATTTGTGCTAGAATTTGGTCCTGAATGACGATTGTCTACTATAGTGCATGATATCGTACACTTGCGGTCATAATCTTATCAAGAGAACAGTCGGTCATGAACATTGAGTTGTGCTATACGTGTTACGTCGTCATTCTTAAATACATTAAAAAATTGTGAGGAACGTTAATTAATTGTAAGCAAATATAATATAACGAAATGAAACGATACGCAAGTGACCTCATCGTTAAAGTATTCCCAGACGAGGAAGAGCGTCAAAGTCTAATACAAAACATTGACAGCTTAGAAGGTACACAAAAACGTTCTTGCTGATGTATCATGAGCGTTTGCGTCACATTGGTGACATTGCCACCTTGCGTGATAAATCGTGTACTTACACCAAATCCAAATGATTTTAATCCAATGTCATAGGGGAAAATATTGCTTTTCTCGAACAGTAATAATCAATATTTATACATAAGGATACTTGTGAATATAGTTCACTGAGTTATCGTCAGAAATAGAATGAAATTTTCAAACATACATTTTATTAGAGTTAAAGTTGAGCCCAGTTAGCCCACGAACACAGTTTTCCGCTAAGGTTGTCGACGAAAGTCGTGCACTTGTTTTTGTAGGTGTTATCTCAACAGACATATTTACGGTTAGTAACAATTTGCATATTATGGACCACTACGCACGAATAACTAACTATATTAAATGATATATAAAGTTGAAGTGTTTGATGCAGTTTATATAAAATCATGACGGACTTATTATTATTGCTTATTTAGTGTCATCGCAGCAGCTGCAGCAAAGCGATGTACCTACCTATTAGGCTATTGTAACTTGCAAGTCAGAAAATAAACATGATGAAGTCGCTGAGTATTTTTATTGCTTGCTCGTTTTTTACTTTCTAGGGTTTTACTTGCTCTAAAATCATTAGTATTGGGTCTGAGTATCGCATACTAAAAAATCAAATTAATAAAGTTTTTGACTTTTCATAATCATTATAGTTTATACTAATTTGAGAAATACTTTAATATCTCAGGCTGAGTTATTGGCTATGAGCCTGTGACTGAATACTACTATTCTATACAATAATCTATAATGATAATTTAATTTTTGTAGAAGTGTGGAAGCTTCATATCATAGAAATGTTTATCATCCATTCATTCCAATGTTTTGTTTCTTTAGCTTTCATATCATTATCAACACATTTCTGTCAAAGACTGTCATTCTGTCCAGGTGGACTTCAACTTTAAAGTCTTGAACACACCTGAACTGGCCAGCCAGGCCAGGCTGGCCCTTGCCATATTATTGTCTAAAATGGTGCTTTTTTGTCCATTTTTTAATCAATTTGACACTCGCAGTCGCAGACTCTCAGTCCTCAGACTCTGAGTCTGAACTTCTGAAGTTAGGATTGTATTATTATTGTAGGGTAAACGCGGTATATTCCGACATCATAGGTAATTCCGTCACTTCTCTAGTTTTTCCTTTATATTAAGCTTTGTTTTAGTTCCATGTGTTCATTGATGGTTGAAATGGTGACGTCATACATTTGCATGTCGAAACATAGTGGCAAAGCAGAGAGTTTTTTTAGACTCTCCCTCAAGTTCATTTTTGGGTCCTATAAGTAGACCAGTAAAGTATCATGGATACCACCAGGCACCAGTATCATACATAAGAAATTTGTTTAAATCTTGAGTAAATGAGGAAATTAAAAATGAACGGATTCTAAAAAACCTCTTGTTTGTCACTATGTGTCGAAATACTGCAAAAACACTAGGTCTTGGCCATCTAGTGGGAAAATATTGAGATCCAAAGAGAGACAATGCATGCCACCTGGTGAGATCATCAAAAAATGTGTCAAATTTGACAGTTGACCTTGCTCTACCAAATAGTGAATAACTGTTTTTATAGGAAGAATATTATGGTTAGACTTTTAAATACGTCTGTGAATATATTAGGAATCCTTTAAGTAAACTTGTATTCGCTGATTTCAAGTTGTAAATAAATTAATAGATGATTAAGTTGAGTGATGGATTTAGACCCATCAAAACTAATTCCGACACAACTTGAATTGGACACACACAGATCGTTCCAAGCTTTGTACAAAAATTGAAATTTACTTAATTAAAAGCCTAATAGCTGTTAATTAAACGTAATTAAGTAGTGTTCAATATTCGTTAGTGTTCTAATTCAAAGCCGTGTTGTATCCCAATTCAGCTCACACAGCAAACGGAATTCGAACACGTGGATGTCGGCAATACGTATCGGTTAAATTTGAAGCGCTGACGCAATATGACTCACCACGTGTCGGATGTTGCCACACAAAGTGACGGAATATAGGGATTTGGTAGGTTTCCATTCTAAAGGCTTCTTAATAAATATGGCAACATTTTGTGACGTTTCATCGTTGCTGACGCGTAGTGAAGTGTTTTGAGAGTCATGTGAAGGCAACAGAACTTACGTAACGCATACGTTTTTTTTTATAGTTTTTCATTTCTCAATGCGTCCTTAAAGTGTCGGAATATACCGCGTTTACCCTAACTTGATGTTATCATTGTTAACTGATAACATCAACTGTTATCAATTAACTCAAGCTTGGAAGACATCTAAACATTAGAGCCGTGACTAGAGCTTTCCTGCCATTTCCAGAACTGAGAGATTTCTGCCACATGAATTACATCCTAGGTACCTAACCTAACTAATTGCTAACAAAATTGCAAAATTCATCATGTTGGAGCTGCAAGATTTTAGAAACAAGTAGGCCTAGGAAAATTCCAATTCTGATTATTAACTGATAACAGTTGAAAAGAGCTGACTGCTGACTTGATATCATTGTTTAGGTTAGGGGGCTAACATTAACTGATGTTAACACTTTGATTGCAACTGTCTGCACGTGTGCCATATATGTGTTAATGTGCAACCGGAAACACTACCGCGAAGTTGAAATAGTTACGGGTAGCGTGCCGACTTGACAGTGACTTGCGTACCATAAAATGGGGTAACTTAGACCACTTTTTTTTCAAAATGATGCCATTTTTTTACTAGATAAGTTAAACTTGAATTGAAACGTGCAAAATACAGGTCTATACTCTAGCTTTACTCACTATAAATTGCTGGCTCCTGCCTCTCATAGTTTTGACGTAATTTCAAAATAAGTGGTGGTCTTTGTTACCCCAGCTCTTGGGGTAACTTGGACCGGGTGGTAAAATCAATTATATTTTTTGGTAAAATAACTCCAAATAACTCCAGGTTTTGGTGCATTGTAGTAGAACTCTTCTAGTTACATATGCAAATGACAAAACTTGAGGAAAGTGTCATAGTTTGCAAATGGGGGGCGCTGCCCCATAATGAGTGAAATGTGACTACCTAATGGCAGCCCTGATGGGGTAATATTGACTGGCTTGGAAATTAAGTTAAAATTACCATATATAAGACTCTGTAGAGTCTGAAACATAAAGAAAAAATAGGCTGTCAAACATAAAATATGTTATATATGGTAATTTTATATTAACTTCCAAGCCGGTCTATGTTACCCTGTCAGGGCTGACATTAGGTGGTCTAAGTTACCCCATTTGGGGGCGGCGCCCCCCATTTGCAAACTATGACACTTTCCTAAAATTTGTTGTTTGCATATGTAACTAGAAGAGTTCTACTACAATGCATCAAAACCTGGAGTTATTTAACCAAAAAATAAAAAAATTGGAGGGGGTACTCTGACAGGCTTTGAATAATAGCTTTTTTTCATGGGTCACATTTTTAATTTTTTAACCTATTAGATATGCAAACTTTTCAAATCTTTCTATTGTGTTATGTAGCCTCAGTATTAGGCCTTTAATGCCCATTGACAAAATTTTTCTATGTCAAATAGTTTTTGAGTTGTGGGGGTTTTTGTTAAAAAAACGAAAAGTGGTCTAAGTTACCCCGCCGGTCTAAGTTACCCCATTTTACGGTACTGGTTTTAACACGAGGGCTAAAGAGTCGCTCTTTGGTCCGGCTCTAAATTCACTTGTGTTGGAGAGGGGAGGAATAAACATGAGAAACTTTTCTTAATATATTGGTGATCTTCGGGCAATACACAATTCCTCTGTACAAGGCACACAATTTATTAGGTCCAAAAGCTCTGGGAAACAGGGTCTCAGCCTCAGGGATACAACGTCGAGGAATCCTAATAAACCACTGAGGACCACAAAAGCGGACAGCAAGGATACGGGTACGAACCGCACCACAAAACTGACAATCTTACAGGAGTGGACAGCAAGGATACGGGTGCGAGCCGTATCACAAAACTGACGACCTTGCAGGGGTGGACAGCAAGGGTACGGGTACGAGCCGCACCACAAAACTGACAACCTCACAGGAGTGGACAGCAAGGATATGGATATGAGCCATACCACAACACTGACGACCTTACAGGAGTGGACACTGGACAGCAAGGATACGGGTACAAGCCGTATCACAAAATTGTCAACCTCACAGGAGTGGACAGCAAGGATACGGGTATGAGCCGCACCATAAAACTGACAACCTCACGGAGTGGACAGCAAGGATACAGGTACGAGCTGCACCACAAAACTGACAACCTTATAGGAGTGGACAGCAAGGATACGGGTACAAGCCGTATCACAAAACTGACGACCTTACAGGAGTGGACAGCAAGGATAGGGGTACAAGCCGTACCACAATGCCGACAACCAACGCAATGATCAGGGGTTCGAGCTCTAATGCACTGCCAAGAACACAGAACCGGGTGGCAGTTACGCCTCAAAAGCACGACTATTGAAGGGTACAAGCCTCCAATAAGCCGCTGACAATTTACTCAAGCGCAGAGGTTATTAGCCTCTACCCCGAGGGTGCGATTTGAACGGCTGTTAACCGCCCAACGCAGCCAAAACCTGGAACTATCCAAGAACTCCACCTACGCTGTTATTAGTCCGTTAGAGGAACTCATTAAGAGTTATGCCCAGAACTGCGGTGGAGTTTATTCTTGGAAGCCCAAATTGAGCTCTTCCTGATTCGAGTCGAAACCGTGTCACCCCAACCCAGTACCACTGAGCACGCACAACTTCAAAGTGCACACTACGAGGGGGTAACTCAGCCAAAATGAGCTTACTTCAACAACCCGTTTACAATGTACAGAACAGACTGTAAACACTTCCTAAGTGCAAAAAATAGATAATATAATACAATACAATAGTCAACATATTTGTAATCATTTGGCAATCTAATCACAGTTAAAAATCTAATAATCTTGAACTAATTCCAAAGAGACCAAACTCTCCATCGTTCACGACTACCTAGCGCGCGTTATAACGAGGTTAGGAGCATCTTGACCAATCATGTTGGAGCTACACCTTGTCTCGTTCCAAGACACTAAATCCTACAAACACCACAGCTAGACAAGATTCCATATTACGGGCACGAAATATTCACATTGCTTGGTCATAAAATAAATACATTCAACCATTATTGAGTCATATTGTAACGTAATAGATAATATCAAGACTCGAATCTCTTAATGAAGTTGATCTTCCAAGTCCAGTCAATACTATGTTCTCAAAAAAAATTATTTCATAAAATTCGGGTTCCGTCACATATGGTACACGCATGCATGTCCCTAACTGCGATGTGCGCCATATATGGTGCACGCTTGAAAAATGTAATTTAAAAAAAACTGCTCTCTAAAATATCAGCCAGATCATAAACTTGTGAAAAATATGATGGAAAATTGACAATGTTTTAAAAAACCAAACCTATATGAACGTCGTGCAATCGAATAATGAGAATCTTAGTAGTTGGAATGTAGCCTGAAATAATGAGTACGTAGGAAAAAGAAAAAGTATTAAATAAAGGGGGTTATTCTGTTCCAATATGTTGAAAATCATTTTTTAGGTATTGGTATGGATTAAAGCAGTAATAAAATACTTAAAAAAAACTTTTTTAAAAACAACGTTTTTCTTGTGGACTAAAAAGCAGAAAATAAATTATGACTCGCCCCAAAAAACGTGTGTCGGGCAGATTTATGATTAAAGCGAAAAACACAACAACGAATTTTGGAAATTTGACGGTGAACGTACAGCCCGACCCACATTTTTTTGGGGCGAGCTATAATTTATTTTCTGCTTTTTAGTCCACAAGAAAAACGTTGTTTTTAAAAAAGTTTTTTTAAGTATTTTATTTTCTCCTTTTTAGTCCGTTGCTGCACGGACTAAAAAGCATGACTTGATGTACGTATCCATGCTACGCAGCGTCAGCGACTGTTCGTCTATAACGTCAGCGCCCGCATGTCATACTATATATATACTATATATATATATACTCTACTCAATTAAGCTAATTTGGGTCTCTAATTGCTAGTTTTTATGATTGTATCTGAAATTGTTAGGCAAAAATAGCCTGTATGGCGAATTTCAGATCTCTAGAGCAATCAGAAGTGGGTTAATTTTCGTTGTGAATGTTAACAACAAACAAACAAACAAACGCGAAGCTAAGCTAAGAAAAACGTTTTAAAAAATAAGTATTATTCATTTGAAAGTTGCCTAAGCTCACACAGAAACAGAATGGCACTGTAAAAAGCAAGATGAACAGTGATACGGATTCCGAGTACTGGGCTAGCATTTGATAGTTACTTTTCTAGCTTTTTGTCTCACTTTAGCACCAACTAACTTCCTTTTTTGCAATTATGTTAAAGCAAGACTCAGATCAGTAGCTTGTCATGGCATGAAGTTCAGATCCTCAGCTTGAAATACTTTGGAGCTGGAACGCCAACATCTAAAATCATTGTGATTTGGTTATAGAAACATTCCTTCACGTGTCTGACCTATTACTAGTGAAAATACATTCACAAACCTTCAACGACTTCAGCAATTCACATCGATTTTTACTGACTATAGAACTGATCACCAAGCACCCAGGCATTTGCTACAGTTCTTGCCAATAACTTGAATAGTTGTTGGTACCACTTCATGCTTTGCTTAGAGCAGTATTGTAAGAAATAATCTAAATGAATTATAAACTTCCCATTTAGCAGCATTTTACCCCAGAATGATTTTTAGTTTGATTATTTCAGTCACAATCCAATTTCATTTGCACAGAAAATGTTTTTTCAAGCTTAAGTACCCGTGTAATGCAAATTTTTTATTGTAGTTGAATAATAAATGCCGTGTACCTCATGTGGCGCATGTTGCCTAGAAAGATGAAAGTTTCCATCCCAGGCGACATGCACCAATAGAGGCTCACGGTTTTTATGTCAGAAGCTTGCAGAACTTGCTCAGACAGGAGCAGCACGCTAGCCCTGATCTCGCTGCCTTGTCTGTAACTTAAGTTATTCAAGTTTGAATGAGTCGCACCACTGGAATACAGGCTATTTTGTGAGTCGCAGTCAAAGTGTTAATGTTTACTACCTAGTATGAACACAATGAACAGATATCATGAGATATGTAAAATAATGACTACTTTACACGTCTCTTCTGAATTTGGGGGCCTTCAGTTTATTAGTTATGCTGCAATTTGAAAAATATTTCAAGCAGTGAGCCTGTGCCCTGTGTCCATTTTCCAACCAATTTGTGTATCTGGAATATCGGGCCAAACATTAAAAATTGAGATTATATATGTATATTTTATGAGTAACTTTTAGTCAGAGGCCATAAAATGGGCAAAATTCATTACAAGGCATTTTTGTCTTCTTTATGGCCAATGCAAGTGCCTTCTGCCCAATTATCAAGTTGGGTTTTATGAGATGTGCATATTTTCAAGTCTGGTTGAAATTTTTGTTGATTTTATGTTAATTATTCTATCCTCTGCTTACCATCACTGTTTATTACCATGAGGACATCCCATTTGTAGATGGAGTGATGGAGACTAAACCTCTGACTGCACATGACTCGCTCAACAATCCTCTGATGCGACCTACCAGCTACCAAGCACTGCACCCTCCTTCTCAGGTAGCCCTTCTTGCACAAAATTTTCACATTATTTATCTTCAAAAAATCTTTTTATAATGTAGAATGCTTAAAATTTGAGAATAAATTACCATAAAAAATATTTCCTTAATTAAATTGATATTAAGCTGTTTTTTTCTGCAGAAAGCTGTTAATTAATTGAAGACAAACAGAATTAGCATTCATTAATTTAGGAGCTATGAAGTATGATTTCTTAAAATTGTATCTTTTATTCTTAAATTAAATAATTCAAACTGACTTTTATTCCCTTATTTATTGATTTTAATTTGATAACTCAAACTAATTACACCACTCTAACAAACCCCAGTTATTGCTGTGTTATTTTTGTGGTATGCCCCTTCCACTTCCACCTCAATATTGCTTTGTTAGAATGAATCTTTGTTAATGTTTCTTTTTTTCAGTAAGTTTAGCTAATTGTTTGCATACTTTTTTTCAATGTACAAGATGAGCCTCATCATTAACTCAACTCTTCAATGCAGTGTTATTACTGTTTCAGCTAAGCCTAATGGAAAAGCTGTGCCTGATGGCATGTTGAATAAACCATTAAATAACTCAAACAGTAAAAAACACATGAATGTGCTAAGTATATCAAAATCATCTTGCCAAGAAAATGAAATGGAACATATATATTTTTAAAAATTTATAACACAAATTCAAGTACATTTAAAGAAATATATCTTGTCAATACCAACTACAAAAATATATATATGAGCGAATATTTGAAATTTAAGAGCTGAAGTAAAGTTAACTTGAATTTATCCATACTAGCAATCCACTGCTTCAAGCATTTTTTTAACAATGCTTTAAAGATAATATAAATGTAAATTTACAAAAATAATGTATGTAACCTAAAACTAAAAAGCAACAGTAATTGTACTATGCATCTAGCACTAAAGCCTCTATTCTTTACTTCCCTCCTTTCAACGCCTCATAGCATCAAGTTAGTTGCTTCTGAACATTTGTATTGTTAATTTCTCTGTTGAATGTTTTTGAGATCAAAAGTATTTTTGATCTTCAGTATTCAAGAACAATGCAATTTTGTTTTCTTCAGTGACATTGAGCCATTTCAACAATAACTATAGCCTCTCATAGGTATATATATCAGATAAATCTATTATAATATATTCCAAGCATAAAATTTGAATTCATAAAATCCTATTTACTGCTCAGAATTTAGAGATTGACTTGGAATAATACTCACCAAGGGTTAAGGTGATTGAACATTTGAAAAAATCAAAATTAATATTGTTGAATCATTAGAGAATAGCGTACACAAGGAATCGGAACTTTTAGATACAAATTGCACAAATGCTTTCACCTTCATAAAATTTGTTCACAAGTGCCTATATATTACAAAATATATATATATAAATCTTCTTCCTTATTTTGCTACCTTATACAATGGTCAAGTTATTTTTGCAGGTACAGCTATTGCATTTTAGGTGTTTTTTCAGATACCTATTGCTAAAAAAATCACTAGAGACTGTAAAGAGCCAACAGAAACTGAATTGTTCTTTGAAACCTTGCCTTAATAAGGATTTTTATCATGATCGCATCTATCATGTCCTTGTGATGGTTGTACTAAATCTAAATGTTCATTTTAAACACAATTTTGAACACTTCTCTTTCAGACCCAATGGAATGTTGCTGTAATTCAATGTAATCCAGTTATTGAGAATAGCACAAAGTTAGAGTAACTTTGGATTTAAATCATTATTTCACTTACAGGATTCACCTCCTGGTGATCAAGGGAACATCCCAGTTCATGACATAAGTAAGTTTTCATGGTATTCTCATAATAAGAAACATGTTATAATATTATTGTCAGTTTTATTTGCTCTGAAGGGAATGACTGTTTCCAACTATTGACTAATAGACTGATATAAATTTAATAATATATTCTTGACAACTTTCTGTTCACTAGTCTCCCAATTGATGATTTTTCTGATGTTTTGAAATTACATTCAAAATCTAGCTCAAATAATTATCAGTGAACTAGTTAACTTTAGTTAACTTAAACACTCAACTTTAGTTTATTAACTCATTATTTTTTATATTTAAAGGGTCTTATTTTTAATTCATGAACTTTTTGCAAAAGATGCTCTATCACACCTCTGTTGAATTCTGCACTAAAACTGCCAGGGATTGAACTTTACTTCATGAACTGGAATGCTAATTATACAATGCAGTTGGTCGTTATGTTTTGTGCTTATTTTATGCTTTGAATGGCTATAGTGTTACATATAGCTGTAACATCTATTGTCTAATTCACTGTCCTGCTTTGCTGTGTTTGTGTTCTTCTGAATTATCTTCTTATCTACTGTGAATTTATCAGCCATTTTTACTATTGCTGAATTAGTAGTGCCGGTTGGTCATATATAGTAGCACAGTTGGTTATACACGTACTTTTTTTTAATATTTTGGTGCCTGATTTGAAAATCAAGCATAATATGCATGTTCAGAAGCCACAGCCTGATTCAATTTTGCTGGTTACTAAAAATTATAGAAACTATGAAAATCAGAACGTGTGTAAGAGAAATGTAGGTATGTATTTTATATAAACAAAACTAATCAAATGCCAGTGTCACTGCCTCATCTTCCAATTAATCACATGAAGTGAGAAATTATTATTAAATTAACAAAGAAAAACTTACAACAACAGTTATGTTTTCTTTCTTCTTTGATCATTTTCATTATCTTCCAAGAATTTTCATGCTGTTCACTATACCATGAAATGCTGAAATGTGGCTTGCTTTTTTGTGTCATTTCTTGGAAAACCTTCCTTTTGAGTGATGTTTCCCTTAGGATTGTACATTGCAGGTATCTTTTTCTCTTTCCTCTCTCGCATTTAAAACGCTCATAAGAATGTGCTTTTCTTTGCATTGATGTGCAGGGTCTTCCTGATTTAATATTCTCAATGATACCACTCAGAGTAAAAGCTGGTGTTCTGCCAAAATGCCTTATTAGAATGGGAGCCTTGGCAAATATTTTTAGAACAAATATTTTATACAGATTTAAATGCAACTTTTTATGCCATTTCATGCTTTTTCTCTTCCTCTCAGGTCAACTGGTCTGCTTTGTTCATTTTCTTACAAGCTGTGGCCATGTTGTTGCAGCAATTGTGAAGCACAGGGTTGGGTGCAATACTGTCCCAGTTACCTCTTCTTTGGCATTATATGTTTCCTAAGGGGAAGATGATGTGTACCACATATGTATTATGGGCTTTCCTTCTGCAACATCTGCATCATTCTTCAATCCTAATGTATATAAAGCTACTAACCCCCTTGGGGCAGAGGCACTTTCCAAACTAGTTACTGAACTGAAATTTATCATGACTAAGAGAGTCAGGCTATCTGCTTGCTGAGCTATAGGCCCTGTTCCTAAAGGGTTGTAGTTAAACTTATCTATTTTGACTGTAAGTCAACCATTTTTATTTTAATTTCAGTTCTATTTCTATTAGCAATTTCTAAAAACTTATGATTAGGCTTATAACTCCGTGCTGGTGCTGGTTTGAACATGCATAGTAGCCCACACTGCTGTGGCATGCTACCATACTGCTGTCTTTTATTGTTTCTATACCTAAATTGAAAGCCATACATATCTTTGAGACAATTAGTCCAATTTTAGCAAAGATATGATTACTCTGTATTGCTTGTCTTTTTTCTTTTTTCTTGAAATGTTTGTACACCTTGGGACTTCAAGTGTTTGTACATCCATGCAGTTCCAGTCTTTAGAAATAAAATGTGATATGCTGAAAAATGAGGATCAACCTAAGCACATTTTCATGGATGCCAGCTTTGGGTAATGAAAACTGGCTGCCACTGCACATGTGTGAAATAAAAACCTTGATTAGTTAAATTGTTCTTCCTTATGCACCACTAATGCTTTGTTGTGTTGCACTCTGTATTCAAAAATTAGTAATTTGCTCTCTGCAGAGCTTCACCATCATCTCCATCACCTTGACTTGCTAGCTGTATCAACTGTTGAGTCCTTATGACTGTCCATGACAGATCTGCAATACCAATGATCCCACTCAGTGGTAAGAATACTTTAGTGTGCTTGCCAGACTGACCCAAGTTTGATTTTTCATTTTTAAACTAATTCGATTCATTTACTGGTTTCATCTCACATTCAGTGTTATCTGTTGAGGTGTGGTGAAAGTACTAAATTTCATTAATTAACATAAGTTCATACTACTAATTGCAGTTTGGCTTGTTTCTTTTTTATTATGGCCTCCTAATGATGAGTGTTATTTATTTTAATTTTGTAATTTGTTTACAGTTGGAAACTGACATGTGACACTGATTACAGAAGATTTCCTAGCATCTACTATTTCCACATTTTTGCTTGTTGAAAAGTGTTTTGTAACAAGTGAATCCTGAAGCTGTAATTATAGACAAACCTTTGGAATAGCAATTTGTGCCCAATTGTATCAACTGTATAGTCAAACCTGCTGCATGAATAAAGCTATTGAACTGAAACGCCCACCAGTGCCCCTCGAAAATTTAGAGATATAGACTATTTGGCACTATTTAGCCAATACAATCTATACCAGTGGTTCCCAAACTTTTTCAGGCTGGCGCCCCCTTTGGCTCCCTAGTGAATTTCTAGCGCCCCCCACAGACATACGCCTCTTTCTTGAAATTTAGTACGCTGCAATTTTAAAAGAGAACGGTTAAACACAAATGTGTATTTCACAAATAGAAGCCCATTTAGTGAACCAATGTGTTTTTCAGCTCTTTCAACTGTTTCAGCGCCAGAAACCTATTATAGGACGTCTCGGGCGAATTTACGGCCTGACTCGTGGCCGGTCTCTCGACCAATCTCCAAATTCAATTATCAAGTAGTATCTCCAAAACTAATGAACGCAGCTCTATGAAACTTGGAACATGCATTCATCAGAACCTAACGGTGTTATTCAGCTTGTAATTTTTTTAAATGTCACTTCCATTCGTGAGTAACGCGTATATTGCGAAACAGGCCGAAATTCGCAGTGATCAAAGAATTTCTTCCAAACTATTGAACAGATTTGAGCGAAATTTTGAATATACATTCCAAACGGTGATTTTTCAGCTTATAATTTTTTTAGATTTTACCTTTGTTTGCGAGCTTTTTTTCCATTTCACCGTCATTCTTGATTTCGCACTTCCCTATATTCGGCCCGTATCGCCGGGTAATTTGTCACTTAAATTCGAGGCGATCAAGAAATTTCTTCCAAACTACAGAACAAATTTCAATGAAACTTTGTATATAAATACCTAACCTCTCAACGGTGATGTTTAGCTCGTGACAATTTTTTATTTTGCTTTCGTTCGCGAGTTATACAGATATTGGAGGAACGACCGGCTTTTCTACCGGCCGGTTTAACCAAGAGCCATTTAAGGCCGTATAACTGGCAAACGAAGGCAAAACGAAAAAATTGTAACGAGCTAAACATCACCGTTGCTGAGGTTAGATATTTAAATATTAAGTTCCGTTCAAATCTGTTCAGCAGTTCGGAAAAAATTTCTTGATTATTGCGAATTTAAATAAACATGTATTGCTGTTTAAACCACGAATGAAGGTGAAATAAAAAAAAAACTCGCGAACGAGGGCGCAATCGAAAAAATTTTCACGAGATAAACATTACCGTTCGGCAGTTAGGACTGCAAATTCAAAATTTCGTTCGAATCTGTTTGGTAGTTTGGAAGAAATTACTTGATCACTGTGAATTTCGGCCGTTTTGCCATATAACTGTGACACAAACAAACGATGGCAAAATTCAAGCAATTTTCACGAGCTAAACATTATTGTTAGGTCCTAATGAGTACGTGTACCAAGTTTCATCGAGTTAAGTTCATTAGTTTTGAGAGATATTCCTTGATCATTGAATTTGGAAATTGGCCGTGAGACCGGCCGCCAGTCCGGCCGTTAATTTGTCCGAGACGTAAACCCAAGAGAGGCTAAAAAAATAGATCTGGGTGACAAAACCATCGCTGAGAGTCGTGTGCTGCACGTGTTGTGTACATATCGTCAAACAAACTTTCGAACTTCTGACTTCGACTTCGGATTGTCGCCCCCTTATCGCCCCCCAACCGCCCTCTTCTTCATTACCGCCCCCCAAAATCTTTCCATCGCCCCTAGGGGGGCGATATCGCCCACTTTGGGAACCACTGATCTATACAAACAATCATTACTGGCCTTTATGCAGTGCCTCAGCTGACAGGCCCAACATATTTTATCTGCTTTGCATAACTTGAATTGCCCTTGCATGATTTGATTTTGAAATTAGTTTTTGATAAAACTGGCTTTGTACCGTATTTTGTGAATTGAATTACATGATAGACTTGAAAGGAAGGAACTAATCAATTCATTTTTGATACGAATTACGTACGAGACACGCTATGGCTGAATAAATGGATCTGAAGCACCTGAATGTGGGAAATAATCCATAAATACATTAAGTTTCCATTATAGGAAACTTAATTTCTAATTAATCTTAATTCTAATTCTAATTTATGCTTCAATAGTTGGTATTCTTCCAGTCTGTGTGGGATCTTTGCAAACATTTGATTTTGAAAAAAATAGTTCCTACTGAATTTTGGTTTTAATTAATAGTATTATAATTGCATATTTGTAGTGATGCAGAATCTATACCGTATTCAACGTAATGCACTTGTTATGTTGAAAATCATATTTAGAAGCCCTAGTACAGTATGCTTTCAATTTTGTATTCTTGTCTGTTATGAAATTAGTCGAGAAAAAATTTACATAATTCTGGAATGGAATTTCCAGATAAAAAAATGTATTGAATAATTCAACTCAATCAAATTTTTCTTCTCTTTAACTCTGCTGGTTTTTTAATAATTTCATTATTATTTTATTTTCCAAAACAATAATTCCATGGTTTATAGGATTCATATTCATTCTTTGAAAATTTGAACATTTCATGCAAATCATTAAATAAAATTACGAATCATATTCCATGATAATGCATTATTTTTACCCATAGCATATTTGTATTGGATTTACACATTTTAGATTTGAATTTTTACATCAATTTTACTTCTTCCATTAGCAAAAAGTTAGCTTTGATTTTTATGACTATTTTCTTTTGTTTGTTGTCATGCATGCTTGTCTAACATTTGCTTATTTTTATTTTTTTTAGGACAGCGAGCAAACGCAGGCAATAGCATGGCTGCAGATAGCGGCAGTACAGGCAGTGGCCATAGATCAGATATCAACATGGAGGGCGGCTCCAGTTGTGTGGCTGACAGCAGCCTGCCTATTGGCAACAATGGTGAGCCTCCATACATTGCTAGATGTAGGTTATTTCCTGAACTAATGATGCATAATATTTAAAACCCACCAAAAACTTTTTTGTGCAATTTTATGTTATTCATTTAAAAGGCCATAAATTTCTGTCTTACATTATTTAAAGGAGTATCGATGTCGTATTTTGTAATGCCTTAGTGTATTTTTTAACTCAAGATCACATTGGTTTTGTACTATTTACTTTCCCTCTGGTGTATTTTCTGCTTTTTTTAGAAATATTAATGATAATATTGATAACTGCCTCATAACAATTTGTTATTGAAGAAATATGTTCCTTGTTGCCAGATATGACAATCAACGACGATATTTCTTCACCGGACCTGATGTGTTTTGGCCAATACGAGGACTTCCACACCATAGACTGGCAGCGGGACGTGGCGCGGGATCGCATGCGCCACCGACTCCTTGAGAAGAACAGAGGCCGCAGTCTGCTTGACTGGCTCAAGAGCAGCCATGACGCTGGCTCAGGCTGGCTATGTGTCTTTCTTATTGGGCTCTTTGCTGGTTAGTTATTTGTACTGTTTTTTTAGGGTGTAATTAGAAATTTTTAATTTGGATAGAAAAGAATTCGTCTACTGAGTTGCTACGTGTAGAATAGCTTTTCTATATTTGAGATGTTTTTTGTATTTATAAAGGAAGGAGGAATGGATTTTTTCTGAATCATGGTGACTTTGGGTACCTGAAAATTACTATCACATCGTCGAAACAAATTCAGTGCCGTATGAGTGCTTAACTTAACAGAGGCGGCGATCAATCCATCATGGCCTGCGACTGCTACGTCCGAAACATATCATGATACAGCAAATAACTTCTCACAGGGTTATAAATATTTTTTTAGGTGCTGTTGCGGGTACAATCGACATAAGCGCTCGTTGGATGACGGATCTCAAGTTCGGTATTTGCCCAGAAGCATTTTGGTTCAACAGAGAACAGTGCTGCTGGAGCTCCAATGAAACCTTCTATGATCACGACAACTGTTCCAATGTATGTACGGTTTATCCAGCTACTAAATGCTGTTGTAATCGAAGTTATAGTTGTATTATTTTCTTTACTACAAATTATTGTATCTGTCATACCGATTTTGCAAAAGGTGTTCCCAGTACTTGGTGGTATATAACTGGATTGTATCCACGACACGTCTCAATTAAGCTGTCGGAACTTGAAATATTTCATTTTATTGTTATCAGTAGATAGCCAACACGCCAAACGAGAAACAAATGAACATTCTAGTTCTTGGGCATGTAACAAAACTTCGGATTTTTTTATCAGCCTTATCCTATTTCTCAGTAACGTTGTGCTTTTTCAGGTCTTGATTGTTATTTAAATTTTGACAGTTCATTACCACAGTGGTTCATCAAATGCTTGAATTTACACTGAATTACTTGACGTTCAGAAAAAGATTGATATTATTAAACTTTTCAGTGGTACACGTGGCCTGAGCTTCTAGGCCTGTACGACGACACGGCTGGCACGTACATCATAAGCTACTTCTTCTACATCGCGTGGTCACTGTTGTTCGCCTCGCTCATTGCTGCCCTCGTCATGATGTTTGCCCCCTACGCCTGTGGCTCTGGCATCGCCGAGGTTACATTTATAATATGCATCTGGGTCGCTCTATAATATTTCATTCATACTATGCAACTGGGCTATGAAAATGATTAAGAATTTGTAACTTCGTATGAACATCACTGACGGCTCTTTATGCTAACTCTGCCAATTACAGACGAGGAATCGTCCGTTACGTGTACTACATTGAGTTTAGAAAGTGTGGCCCCATAAATATTGTCAATTGAAGATGTGGTTCTCATTAAATTAGGTATAATATGAAATACAAGCTTCACTAATATGAAGGTATTGTTATCATTATAAGAGTTATGAATGCCAGACTGCGTTTGTTCTGTGCATTTTCTGCATTTTTTAATGATAATATTGATAATTTTGAACAATATTACAACAAAATACGCCCTCTGATGCTAATGAATTCTACCTTCACTGAAAAAGTGTGATTGTTTAATATAGATCCTTGGTTTACTAAAGAAAAATCGCGATTCACCGTATTGTACATGAAAACTACAATAGCCTGTTCTGATACCCTATTGAGTCATAATTCAAGCTCGATATTTCTATTTTAATCTATTTTTCTTCAGGTTAACGAGTGATATAGGCTTTTGAACGTTCATAATCTACTCATATCTTTCACCATGCTCTCTAATAATATTTGTTTTTATTGATGAGTAACTATGACTTTCACTCGAAAATATAGTATATTTTATTGTTCAGATCAAAACCATCCTAAGTGGGTTCATCATCAGAGGATACCTAGGCAAGTGGACGCTCTTAATCAAGAGTGTGGGCGTGATCATGGCGGTGTCTTCGGGCCTCTCCTTGGGCAAGGAGGGGCCACTCGTACACGTGTCCTGCTGTATAGGTTTGAAGCTCAACTAATCGTAGCATAATTGTTTACAAAACTCTTAGTACGTAGTATTAGCTATTATTCCTCAGTATCATTACTGAATGAAATAAATTTTTGAAACATCGTCTTCTTTTATATACAGCGCATTCACCAATGTTCAAAATTGTTTGAAAATTTTCTAGCTTGAGAGACTTGTTTTTTTTACAGTTATATAAAACTTAGTCCATTTTACGACCATCTATGTTCAGATACGTAACTCATTTTATTTAGGGCGAATAATAATTGAAGTTAGGCAGTCCCTGTATAAATACCACATTTTAGACAATTTGTTTCAGTTCAGTCGAGTAGAAAAGAATTGAAGCCATTGCTTAGTTGTCAGGCTGTTGATTTTCCAAATCAATTCGAATTTAATAAATATAAATATCACAATTTCAGGAACGGGAATTTTACATCATTTAATATATTGATTGGAATTCAAATTGCAGGTAATGTGTTGTCATACTTGTTCCCAAAGTATGGACGGAATGAAGCTAAGAAGCGGGAAATTCTATCCGCGTCTGCAGCTGTGGGAGTGTCTGTGGCATTCGGTGCGCCCATAGGCGGTGTGCTCTTCAGTCTTGAAGAGGTACGTTGTAGCCAAGTAAAATATACAGGCTTTATGCAATCAAAACGTGTCTACTATTTCCAGTTGCTAAATCTTTGAATTGAATTCTTATTGCTCAGTCCAGCCCAGTATTACTAATTAAAGATGAAGTCTGAGCGGCATTATTTTTCCCAATTTTGAGTATGGTGTCCTTGTCATGATTGCACTTCGATTATGCAACCAATACACCTACTCTCGGAGCAATGATCACTACGAGTTTTCTTATACATACAAAAGGTTCTGATTCCGGATTCACATGTTTCACATTTTCCAGGTTTCGTACTATTTCCCTCTGAAGACGCTATGGCGTTCATTCTTTGCTGCTCTGGTCGCCGCTTTTGTGGTGCGCTCCATCAATCCTTTCGGCAACGAACATTCGGTGCTATTCTACGTAGAGTACAGCAAACCATGGATCTTCATTGAGCTTATTCCTTTCATCCTGCTTGGAGTCATAGGCGTGAGTCACTATATACTTATTTCTCCATATTTTAGTATGTAAATTCGAATGAAAAAATTATTGTTCAATATATTGAGAAAAATTATGACAACATTTTCAATAAAACAAATTATCTGGTCTTCAATGTAACCTGCTTAAAGGAACAAATTCTGATATCCTACACTAAGATTAGTAAATATATCCCTAACATTGCTATAAATTAATCTCAAATTTTTTATAAATTTTGACTCATCGACCTGGATAATCTTAAATTGCAATAGCCTCTTTGTTTGGAGAATATATTTTACTGTAGATGTTCTTATTGCAGGGGCTCATTGGGACTGCGTTCATCAGAGCAAACATTTGGTGGTGCAGGTTCCGTAAGAGCAGCCGTCTTGGTCAGTACCCTCGCCTCGAGGTGGCCGTGGTCACCCTCATCACTGCCCTGCTCGCCTACCCTAACCCCTACACCCGCATCGACACGAGCAGTCTCATATACATGCTCTTCTCTCAGTGCAGTGCTGCTAATAATGATGCTCTCTGGTAAGCAAGGTGTAGATTAAAAGGGGATCTTAATAGTTTAAATTTTCCTATTCTTTGCCACGTACAATTATGCTAGTGATTTTTTGTTGATTACGTTAAGTTGATACAATTTCTACCATGTTCCTGAACATAATTTAGCAAACCTTGTCTAAACAGTTGGGCTCTCAATCACTGCACCTCGCCAAATACCTCCACTGCCTTGAACTGCATATGATGAATATATCACGAATTCTAGGTTACCGGTAACCCCATGTGAACAAGTATTAGTATTATCTAATAATCCTAATTTCTGTTGAAGCGATTACCAACGCAACTTCACAAACGTCAACTCCGCTATTGAGACTGCAGCAGCTGGGCCTGGCGTTCTCAGAGCCATTTGGCTTCTGGCACTCGCTCTTATTTTCAAAGTAATACACTAAATTAAATTATTAATTTTCTTTTAATTGTGGATATTGCCTGATTGTGACATGTGTTCATGGGTTTCTTTCGTAGTAAATACTTCCATGAACAATAATTGAATTATTCCGATGTACGTAACTTTTTATTTATTGGTTACTAGTATAGTTGAGTCATGGGTGAGGGACAAAGTTGATCTTCTTTAACAATTCTTGCCTCAGTTTTTCAGAAATAGATTTTCTGAATTTTGGGCCAATGAGCTTAACGAAACTTATTTTCAGATGACAATGACGGTATTCACGTTTGGCATCAAAGTGCCGTGCGGTCTCTTCATCCCATCCCTAGCCATGGGTGCCATCGTGGGTCGCATCGTCGGCATTGCCATGGAACAGCTTGCTTAGTAAGTCAAAAAATTAAGTGGGGAACCTAACTTGCAAATTTCCTTACTAGTCTGAGGAAAGTTTCGAAGATATATGGGTTCCATTTTCGTAAAGCCCTTGTTTATTTAAAACTTTTTATGTAAATCTTTATTTTCTATTGGCTTCATCCGACTGTAACTGGTGTAATCAACTGTACTGTGCAAGATTTTAATAGAATCCTGATAAAACTCCGAAGGCGCAATTTATATTTTGTATCCCTAACAAAGTTAATTGTTCGAGTAGTTCTTGTTTTGTAATTAAATGAACGCTTTTTACAGCCATCACCCCGACTGGCCGGTGTTTGCAGGCGAGTGCAGCACCGGCGACAACTGCATCACGCCCGGCCTGTACGCAATGGTCGGCGCCGCGGCCGTCCTCGGCGGCGTCACCAGGATGACGGGTAAATGGCTTAAAACTTCTGGTCGTGGCCATCGGTGCGACGGGGGAAGGTTACTTAATGGGAGTAAGGAGGGGCTAGTTCGATGGAAATATGCTGGGGGTTGGTTCGACGGAAATATTCGATAGTTAGTGTTATGGCTATATTAAAGTGTTGGTTCGATGGAATTATTCTTTTTTTTTTTCAATAGGAATATTGGGTGGTTAGATAAGAAAAATACTAGGGAGGTTTGTTGTATCAGAATAATATTCAGAAGTTATTTCAGTAGCAATATTTAGATGAAGGGTTTATTTATTCGAGAATATTCGTGGGCTAGTCAGATAAGAAAAATATTCGGGAGGTTAGTTGTACCTATCGGAATAATATTCAGGAGTTATTTCAATAGCAATATTTTGTGATTAGTTGCATGAATATATCCATAGGATTCTTCAATTGTACCAAAAATAATTCCAATAACAATATTGTGAGTTGTTGTTGCTTACTTCATAAATCATTAGTCGTTGCGACAATTCTAGTTTCAATGTTACCCGTCCAGTGTATTATTATTATTGACGTATACCTCCCCGTGGACGCAGTTTCGCTAGTGGTGATCATGTTCGAGCTGACGGGCGGCGTGCGCTACATCGTGCCGTTGATGGCTGCAGTGATGGCCAGCAAGTGGGTGGGCGACGCATTCGGCCGCATGGGCATCTACGACGCCCACATCACCCTCAACGGCTACCCCTTCTTAGACCCCAGGGAGGAGTTCACGCACACCACACTCGCCCAGGACGTCATGCAGCCCAGGTCTGCAACTCGTATATTATAGCACGTCTTTGGGTATGATAGTTCCTTTTCTCATGATGTCTTACAGCTCAGTTATTTATTTACACATTTCGGTAAATTGGTTCTTGTTGTGGAGGATATGATTTGATGTTGTTCGTGTTGTTCTTTGTTTATTACAATTCTGATTTGCAATCAACAATTAAAACACTGCGCTTAACTTTATATCTTTCAGCCTTGAAAATGCCCTCTTGAACGTCACAATTTTCGTAATTATTCTAGAAATATTTTTAATTCTATTCATAATCATGAGACTTCATCACGATTTTTGGAGCAGGAAAAACGGCTCTCTGTACGTCCTGACGCAAGACTCGCTGACGCTGGCTGACGTCGAGCAGCTGCTCACAGAAACTAATCACAACGGCTTCCCGGTGGTGGTGTCTCATCAGTCACAGTACCTCGTGGGACTTGTTGCCAGGAGAGACTTGGTCATGGCAATCAGTGAGTGGACTTGGTCATGACGATCAGTGAGTAGTTATGGTTGTGACAATCAGGAGTAGTTTTGGTTGTGGCAATCAGCGAGTGGTTTTGGTTGTGGCTATAAGTGAGTGGTTTGGTTGTGGCAATCAGTGAGTGGTTTTGGTTGTGGCATCAGTGAGTGGACGTGGTCATGGCAATCAGTGAGTGGACTTGGTCATAGCAATCAGTGAATCTTGCTCAAATGTCATTCATATGTACTGGATTGCTGTCAAGTATTATGTTAGTGGTAGAGACTTGTGTTACGGTCTTAAATTAATATCAAATTGAGATAAAAATGGATATGCAGCATATCTTGTATTCTTTGTTTCAACAAGTTTTTCTTAGCTTGTTCCTTCTAATGAGCGGATTCATCAGGGTTGGATAAATTCATGATTTGCGATTAAATTCTCGGCAGTATTAATGATTTTTATCCTATACCTATTCTGAAAGCAATTTCCTGATCAGTAAAATTTTCCTCCTAGCGTTTTACCTAAATCCTGCTCTTCGTGTTGTGGCATATTTAATAGTTAATAGTCAAGTTTAAATGCCCTATTTATTCTCGACAACCAATGCCGCAGTCCTCCTGTTAATTATGCGAGCGGTATCATAAGTATTGCGGAGGGCGCTGTGATTAAATGTAAACTCTGTGGCAGGTCAAGCAAAAAGGACCGTGGAGGGCATCAGCCGAGAAAGCATTGTTCTCTTCACCCCATCCGTGCCATCGCCGTGGCTTGGTCCACCTCCTCTCAGGTTAATTTTATGTTTTAAATGAATAGATCAATTTGAATCAGTATTCTTTTTAAGATACAAAAGTCATGAAAAAAACTCTGACTTTTAAATTATTATGATTTAATGAACATATACTTGTTGTGGAAAAGACGAAACATTGCAAGTAAGCCAGCGGATAAGCAGTTCAATACCCAGCTAAAGAATATTGAAAATGGGTCCATTTATGAAAAAGACTCTCATTTAGAGACTTGTTTTCTGACGTATCAATCGTTGCAGGAATCTTGGGTCATTGATAAATAATTATACTATTAGCACACACTTTCTTCATATAATTGGGATGCTACAGCCACTATAACTGAATCTCAAATTCTCTTCGCGAATGTTCTCACTGCACAGTATAACGATCGGGGCTTTTCTAGCTTTCCTATTCAATTCTGCAACGGAATTGTATGACGTGTTGTGAATGTGTGTTTTGAATTGTCGGTGGTTCTCAATCTCTTACATGAACGCTAGGTATATTTCCATCTTTTGACTTTTCAATTTTTTTCCGAATACTTTTCTGAGTTAAATTCATTATCGCAAAATATTATTTAATTAAAGTCCTATTTTGTAAGCTGATCTCGTCAAATTCTGTCTACTCTTGCTCGTTTTTCGTACATTCTAGCCAGATATTTAAAAAGTATTATTGTCTGCTACTGTTATCATAGCTTCAAGAAACCTTAAATAACCGACAATTTTTTTTATTTTCTGTTACTTATTCATCCTGTCACATAGGCCATGTTAATGTGGATGACTTATTCTGTGTCATTCTTCGTATTACTGTTATAACTATTCATACCATTTTTTTTAAATGGTTCTTATTTCTGTGCAGACTTCATCGAATTCTTGATCTTGCGCCGCCAACCATCACGGATCAGACGCCCATGGAGACTGTGGTGGACATGTTCAGAAAGCTTGGTCTCCGCCAGACTCTCGTCACGCATAACGGGTGAGCGATGCTTGTTTTTGCTGCATATTTCGTCTATTTTATGTTAACTTAGCTAAATAATATAAAGGTAGCTACAAATTTATGTGATTATCTTCGATTGCTGTATTCCATACTTGTACGGACTATGAGTCACTGGGCCGAATTCTATGGCGTGCAAAAGTGAACAATGACTGATAAAATATCATAAAAAACTATTTGTAGGTATTGTTGGAACATGAGAACCAGAGTACAATCGTAGCTTTCCTGCATTAAAGACTCGGTACCTGAGCTGCTGAGCAGCATTGAATTGGATCGGAACTGTAGAATTCCCCCCCCCCTTAACCTCGAACTTTGTTCGGTATACAAAATCATTCTTATGGAACATTTTATAATGAAGTTTGGGTTGCAGGCGCCTGCTGGGCATCATTACAAGGAAAGACGTCCTCCGCCACATCAAAATAATGTCTAACGAGGACCCAGACAGCGTTCTTTTCAACTGAAAACATTACCTTATCACGTCTCGCATTCCTTCTCCTAGTCTCCGCTTTACCGTGCTTCGTAACCCGCGCGTCTCTGTCATTCTAATCAAAAAGTCCTCTTTATAGTTTATGGGATAACAGTAGTTTCACAAAATATTCCTGACTATTTTCACGAAAATTGTTTATTCTATAAATCAAACCGTTATTTATTATTAACGAAACTTTCGCTTCCTGCCCTGCAAGTTAGTTGTACTAATCTGCCCTTTCAATCTAATATTTCAAATGATACTTTCTGGTCTCAATCGCCCGCGATCAAAAATGTATCGATTTATTTCAATGTTATGTCTTCGTGAATTGCAAATTGGTTGATTGGTAAGCCTTCAAAAGATTGAAAAATCATTATTCTTTTTCTGCAAGGCGCTCCGTTGCGTACTTCAGTTTTATTTTTTTGGCAGCACTTATTTACGTCTAAAAATTATTTTTCATTGTTCTTTCCTTGTATTATTTTCTGACGTCCTGAATCTGCCACAAAATATCTTGGAGTAGAACTAGAGAATATTTCTCCATATTAATTTTGATAAATCAGTCTTCGAATCTCTGCTCATCTATATATTTTTTTGGTTTTGGGGATGTGATGATGTTTCACGTTCAGAATAGTCCTACTTCAATTATGATATATTTGGTTTTCTTGTAAAATCTTTGACTAAGAACCGACGCATTTGAGATCTTTAAGAAGCTTGTAGCTTGTGGTGTGTTCCCATTTTCGCATCTCTTGGAGTTTGTAGGTTTAATTTAACTGGTCATAGTCATAGTTGCCCTGTAAACGACCTATCCATCACACCACTCTAATGACAAAATCTTTGTCCCGATTAACGCTCGCATTGTCACTGTAAGGGCAAAATTAGTGGCCGGATTTTGCAATTGCAACTTGGTTTTTTATAATTCTATGAAAGATAAATTTTTTCTTGTCGGGATTGAAAGAAAAAAAAAGAGCAAATGCTGTGTCTAGGTTCCTTTGCATTTTTTTCGTTCTTTATAAATCGATTTGATCTTGAATGATGGAGGTAACCTTTAGTATTGTTAATCATATGCCCTGCTGTTTAAACGTAAAATATTTAGTATCCGCTGTTCCGCCACAATCCGTGATACGCGTGTTTTCGCGGAGTCATAATGATATAATTTTTCTTAGAGTTTTACCAGCGCGCCTTTTTCGCCTTGGCTCCTCCCATTTTCATTTTGTGTTGCTATCATTTTGTGTGGTATGGCCATATACGTATGGTTTAGCCATGCCTACGTACAATGTCACTTTCAACGTGGATGAACTCTCTAATGTTTACTTCAGTACTGATACTTTCGTGATAATTTGAAACAATTATTTATATTAGCGAGGCTTTTTTTCATCACTGAGTCTTGAAGCGATTGTGTGATGCGGGCCAAGAGGTTGACCAGGAAGTGTGAGAGGCTCCTCGTAATCGAGATTGCTTCGTTTTAGAAGTAAGGTAGGATGTCCGTGTAGGAGGAATATTTCCTTTCTAACGAGTACTATTGTTGTCATGCAAGTCGTGCCCTTTTCATACAAAGTTTCATTCTTATCTTTGGTTTAACACGCACGGTTAGTAGCCATATTATCGACACTCCTGAGACCGTTTTGTCGCATGCAGACGAGACGCTCGTGACTTGATTTGAACTGCAAGCGAGCGTTAAGTGAAAGTTTCGCTGAAATTGTTTTGTTTTCATCCCCTCATGATTTTTCTTGTGTTCAGCTACTACCTTGAGTCTCCTTTCTCTTTAATGGTTATTCTTGATTCCTATATCATTTTCGATGTTCTTCGTTTACGATTACTGCCGACCCAAAGCGCGAATGAGCAGTAGAGTTTTATCCTTAAATACGTGTCCGAGTAAATAACCTAATTCGTTTAGTTGTTACTGTCGTTGAGTTACTTAAAATTCTAAGTTTAGAGATTTATTGAACCAGTGAAGTTTGGTTGACTTAGTTTTGTTCTTGATTTTCTTCCGACCTTTCACTTTTTGAATATTTTATTTATAGTGATGTCTTTTGGCTTTCGTTTAGTATTTATACAGATACGTTCTGATCTTCTCTGCTCTGTAATCGTGTTCATTAGAACACTTGATCACTATAACATGAAGCAAGTTCAATTATGGAAATGTACTAGGTGCATTATGGGCTAAAATACCTACAAGCGAGAACGTTTATCAGTTGCAAAATTCATTTCCTTGTGTGTTTTTACTGTAAATTCGAGAGTTGAAAAGAGTCTTTAGTAGAACATTTTTCTAAACAGGTCTAACGGTTATTTTCCCTCTGTTTGCATTGCTGTGGGTATTCAGCTGTCATCGTAAAATTTCATATACGTACTCGCTCCCAACGTTCATTGTGCCACACTCCTGAAGCGATCGCATGTACACATGAGTGGTGGCTTCACATTTACCGTGATCGCGTTTAAAAGCATCACAAATGTAAGGGTGTTTTGTGAAGTTTATTATGACGAGAAGTATTGCAGCGTCTAGCGCAAAATAATTTAAAATCATACAAGCGCATGGGCTTGTATTGAACGTCTCAAATCAATTTCTAAATTGCAACTTTTAAAGAAACTTTTCTAGCAACTTTTGAGTTTACTGCAACTTTTTTCCTGCCTTTTTTCTCGAATTGTTCGTTTCACTAGGTGATGCCATCTAGCTGAGCACTGAAATAAACCTCTAGGCAGCCCAGCATTACATTATTTTCATGTTCACGAGCTTCATTCAATTGCATCTTAAATTCATCATCATGTGCTTCTCGTAATTTATATTCGACTGATAGATTAAGGCATCCACTATATCTTATAAACCAACGATCTATTTGAACTTTGATACTTTATTTATAACTACATATTCGTGTCAAAAATTATGTTCATTGACACTTTAACCCTGTACCTAGTGAGGCGGAACTTGATTACAAGGCCTATATACAAGTGAGGGCTTTAAATACGAGTACTTTGGAAACGGCAACGGCTGGATGAGTTAGATACATCGGTTGTTGTGATTCAATTTCTGTTTAATTTCCACACCTTCATGAAATTGGACTGACTTTGAGTTTGTTCGCTTGCGAAGACAGCAAATAAAGTATTAATAATGTTACGTACACACGAAATAATAGGTAAACTGTTATATTTTCTTCATCACAGGAGATTCTGCTCTGTTAAGTATGATTTAACACAAAATTCCAATACATGTTCTTATAATTAATGGACTGTATTTCCGAACGGAGTCATGTCGTCTTATTTTGCTCAGTTGTTATCGATCAAATAGTTTTATTTCTTCAATCGCAATATAACTCCATTTTTTCCAGTATTCCTGTAACGTGGTCTGTCTATTGAGAACCTATTTACCAATCTTTTGTTCCTTTGGTATAGTTATGGACATAGCAGCCCCAGGCCACGCTGGAGCCTTGGCTTGGTGTATCCTCGGTATTTGTTTCGGACGTAGCAGTCAAAGGCTATGATGGATCGCCGCCTTTAGTATTGTGGTGAGGCGGAGGCGCTTTTGCTCTCACGCAAACTTGAGCAAAATTAAACTGAAGCATCTCGTGCAATAGCATCCGCCTCAAAATACGGCAATTATTTTAGTCTATTTCTTCTGATGATAAGTGTGATAACTTTTGGGACATATTCCTCGAGTACCGGCCATATTATACTCGTCACTTCATGGTAATAATCCTGTGCATATTGTCAAAACACTATGATCAATTTATAATTTGAGCCGGACTTTGTGTGCGAATAGTCTTATTCTATAATAATAGATCGCTTATCATATCGTGTTCAATTGTTCATCTTCAAAAGTCACTGAAAATATTCTAACTGGTCAACTTTATAGACCGTTTTGAAACCACAACATTGTTGCTACTATGCGATTATTTTTAAGGGCCTGTAAGCCTTAGAAATTTTCGTTGTCATATGTCTAATAACGTGAAGACTGTAAAGCTGGAGGACTATGTAAATCTAAGGTAGCGTTACAATCCAACGGATGTAACGCCAGCTCCATTGTGTACATATTGGGCGCTGTATGGCCATGCTTTTTATCCACTTAGTAAAGGCTAAACGTGAAACTACCTACAGGCTCTATATTTAATTACTACTTGTAACGCTGTTAGTGAATAAAGTTACGGTTAATAAACTTGCTGGTTAATGTTTCAGTTACGAAATAATTTTTTTAGCTCATTCATAACGTTACTGACATTAGAACATTTACTGTTGTGAAAATTATTTCGTTGATTTCTTAGCTGAATGAGATTTTTCCTATGTTTTCTTGAATTTTTCTTTATACTGTCGGCTTCAGATTTATTGCAAAGTCAATATGCGGCTTCTTTACATACCCGCACACGTAAATATCACATTAAAGAACCACCTCCCTACCTGAACATCTCATTTCAACTGATTATTCCAACACGTTTTACACTATATTCTTGTTGTTATTGATGAATACCTTGTTTTTATTTATTACTCATTATCTTTATCTGATTAATGGCCACATTTAAATGTTATGTTTGGTTAACAGAGGTACGAATGTGTGCAATTTTAGAGGGAAAATGCGGTAACGATGTATGGGCACGTATTTATGTGATCTTGTCCAGCATACCTTTGTATGTACGTGTATCCATATCACGTGTGTTATTATACCCACTTACGATGGAGGTATGTTTACTTGTACCGCATACCTTATGTGTGGTAGACTCGTGTCCAAATAAAATTGTGAACCAAATGGCTCCATTGTATTTCCTTCGTCATCCGTGTTACGTTAAATTATCGAGCTTTGTGGTTCAGTTTTCTTGACCTCCATATTAGTATGAACTAATTTTTAAATATAATTTATTATACCAATGCAGGTGATCGTAATTTTATATCATTATTGAAAGGAGTTGTAGTTAAGTATATCGTCGACGTTTAAAGTCCATCTCTCATTAATAGTTGCTGTTTCCTCATGATTATTCAACGTAATGAAAATTGTAAATGGTAATAATTTAACCCTGATGCGTAGTACTGCGTTGCCATCAATGGCACATTGCGCAACTGTGCGTCATGAATAATGCACGAGGTGTACTGCGATTCGGATCTAATGCCATAAGAGCAATAGAATTAAAATGAATTTCAAGTAGCTTGAATTAGTCATTTGCAAGCCAAGTTTGTATCACTTCCTAGAGAGATTGAAACAGTTTCGTAGTTATTATGTGGTGATCGAACCTTACATATTGTATTACTGACCAGTATTAAACGCTTTTATTAACGAACGTTGAGTTAAGTGCAGTGCCAGTCACTCGTGAGTCATTGACGGCAGATAAGCGCTTGCGTTATTCAATGGCGGCTGCGTATCTTTATTATTCCGTTTGAAACTAAAATAAATAGTTTGTTACAGTGATAGGCTGCTTCAACTACTCCAACACTTCAATTAACAACTACTCCAACACTGAATTAGTTTCAGTAACATGGAACGAGTACTGTGATGTATGAATTAAGCCCGCATTGAGGATGCCATTTAATAAAATATCGAGAAAACGCGTCGGTTTTATTAGGTTAAAATGATTCAAATTTTGGGTCATAAAGCCTTATCTGTACCGGAAAGTTGTACGAAAACGTGCATCTTGGTCAGTGTGAGCCACGATCAAGGGCGTGCAGCGATACGTCACACTCACGCCACTTTATCTAGGTCACGTTCTCGGAAGAGCAGGCGTGTGATAATGCTCTCATCATGCTTGCACCGAGTGGCGACTGAAACGAAACATGAGCGAACTCAAAAAAGGGGAACCGCCAAGATAATTTTGTGATAAATAATTGAACAATGATCAAGTATAAATGATAGCTACACGGTTGAAATAAAAAATCGATTCATTGTTCCTTTTAGTTATTTACTATAATCATTCATTTCACCCTTTTTACAGTTAAAAATTTTTACAGTTAAAATATTTTTACAGGTAAAAATTTCGTTTATCCTCTTCATCAAAAGTTTTACACTGACATTAAACATTACCGTTTATTTTCAACCTTGGTGTTTGCGAGACTGAAGGCTATCGGGCTGAGCCCGTTGCATAAGAATGGCAAAAACGCATGTCCCATCATGTCTGCCTGCACGCACTAGTGACTAGTCTCTAATCCCATGAAATTCATGATTCCCACGCAATGATTTTTCACTGGGTGCCTCTCACGTTATAAAATTCATTGTCGTTATTTATGGTGTTCTGTAACAAAAAAAAGTACTTTTCCGTGTCCCCTAAAAAATTTAAAAGAATGAATTACATGTAAGCTATTATAATTTCTTACGTGTATTATCATTTATCAATGACAGCGATGAAAGCAACAGTTTTGGGTGAGTCCTAGGTAAGAAAGGTACGGGCTTACAAATGTTTAGTGTCGACTGAAAAACAACCAATGCCGACTAACAACTGTCACAGAATGGCATTCATATGGCATATCTGACAAAAACAAATCAGCTCATCTGTGACCGGTCACCGCGCTAAAGCCTCTGTTGAATACAGACTATGAAATCTATCAATAATAATGGCGATTAAAAATCAAATGGGAGTGCCATAGAAAGTTCCTTCTCTATAATATTTTATTAAATACCTATATCTAAAACTGCAACTTACTGACAATGACATGACACGATTGGGCGTCAAAGCCAAGTGATTCGAATGCGCTGGCTAATAATGACTGTTTTCAATCGAAAAAGTTATTTTAGATTCATTTAAGGAATTCGTAAGATTTTGTACTGCAATAATTTTTCAGAGGCTTGACGATCAGAGTAGTGTCAGACAATGCCACATTTCTCATTAATTCCGCTTTATTTATTATTCTTTTAAACAATGAAAATTCCCGTGATAATTTTTATGGTCACTTGCAAATTTAAGAAATTGCAAACGACATAATCCAATAATTTCAGATGAGACACTAATGATTGTAGATATTGAATTCATTGCATCCAGTCTTGATCTGGTGTTGGGGAATTGTAGCACTCCGTCCGATTTGCATGAAAAAAGGTAAAAAAAATTCGCCATTTTTATGAAAACCAGAATGTGATGCAATACCTACATGCAATAACGTGATTGAATTTTATTACTGAATAACGTGCTTATGGGAGCCATCTCAAGTTATGTCGGAAACTTGCGGAAATAAATGACAATAAATCATGATATTTCATACAATTCTAGGTTCCAAGAAACATGTGCATATCCTCGTGCTTGTCTCCGAATAGTTTCGCTCAGTATGTTCATGATGTCAATGTGTTCTTTCTGGTAGTCGAGGCCATAAATTTAGTCTTGGTCAGTCTTCTGGTAGCATGGCTAGAGTGTGGGTGAACAGTGCTTCTCTCGCGTTTGTTTACAACAATTTCCTCCGAAATTCTGCTAAAAACCATCCAGTAAGTTTTCAAATAAAAACAATCTCGCAAACCCTATTTTTTACTTTTTAAAATTTTATACTCTATTTAACGATTCTTCCGTTTCACAATTCGTCGCTGCATGTTGAAGCGCGCGCACGAGATGCCAGATATTGATGACACGAATCAATGTTTCTATTTACTATTCTAATCCTTCTCGAATTTTCATTTGCGTTCTATCTTTTTTTCCATCGTATGCGTCTTTCGCAATATAATTTCTTCAAGATGTCACTTGACACATCGTATCATAAAAATATATATATTTTTTTCAAACCTTGTTTCCCTTCCACTGTGACGTCATAAACTCGCCCCTTTCATAAGCCAATCAGATTGAAGGCCGGCTGTGACGTGTGTACTGCAGAGTATCCTGCATTGAGTTTCTTGGTTTCTAGTCCGGGATGAAATGCGCTATTTCCATAATTCATGGTTATTTGACGACGTAACTATAGAGTTGGATATTTTTTTCGCGGTTCTGCATATTAGCAAAATAATTTGTCATATTTATCCTAATTTATTTTCTTTTGAGGAAAAAGTGGGAGCATTTTTTAAGTCTGCATTCTATACTAGATTGCTTTCCCAAATTTTCCAACAAGTTATCATATAATGCAGTGGTTCCCAAAGTGGGTGATATCGCCCCCCTAGGGGCGATGGAAAGATTTTGGGGGGCGGTAAGGAAGAAGAGGGTGATAGGGGGGCGATAGGGGGGCGGCAGTCCGAAGTCGAAGTCAGAAGTTCGATCGTTTGTTTGACGATTTGTACACAACACGTGCAGCACATGCATGACTCCCAGCGATGGTTTTTTCACCCAGATCTGTTTTTAGCCCATTTTCTCATTCATGGAAAAAATGCACTATTGTGCTCGCCATGTCCGTCCGTCTGTCTGTCCGTCTGTCCGCCTGTCTGTCCGTTCGTGACTTCATGTTTTCGTCGACGAGAAAATACGCTCTCTGTTACTCACTGCAGTGAGTGCTGAGTTACCTATATTTTTTTAACCTCTCCCCAGGTTTACGTCTCGGACAAATTAACGGCCGGACTCGCGGCCGGTCTCACGGCCAAGTTCCACATTCAATGATCAAGTAATATCTCTCAAACTAATAAACTTAACTCGATGAAACTTGGTACACGTATTCATTAGGACCTAACGGTAATGTAAAGCTTGTGAAAATTTTTTGAATTTTGCCTTCAATTGTTTTTGCCATACTTATATGACAATACGGGCCGAATTCACAGTGATCAAGGAATTTTTCCCAAATTACTGAACAGATTCGAACGAAATTTTGAATTTCCAGTCCTAACTACCGAACGGTGATGTTTAGCTCGTGAAATTTTTTTCGATTGTGCCTTCGTTCGCGAGTTTCATTCGTGATTTAAACAGCAATGCGTGCTCAAATTCGCAGTAATCAAGAAATTTCTTGCAAACTACTGAACAGATTTGAACGAAATTTAGTATTTTAATACCTAACCTGAGCAACGGTGATGTTTAGTTCGTTACAATTTTTTCGTTTTGCCTTCGTTTGTGAGTTATACGGCTATACGTAAACGGCTCTTGGTTAAACCAGCCGGTAGAAAAGCCGGTCGTTCCTCCTATATCTGTATAACTTGCGAACGAAAGTGAATAAGGAAGTGTGAAATCAAGAATGACGGTAAAATGAAAAAAAAAACTCTCGCAAACGACGGTAAATCAAAATTTTTTTTAATCCTAAAAATCCCATTTGGTAGATAGGAATGTATTATATTCAAACTTCGTTCAAATCTGTTTGGTAGTTTGGAAGAAATTCTTTGATCACTGCGAATTTCGGCCTGTATCGCAATATAACTCACGAATGAAGGTGATATTTAAAAAATTTTCGCAAGCTAAACGTCACCGTTAATCTGATGAATACATGTTACAAGTTTTATTGAGCTGCGTTAATTAGTTTGGGTGATATTCCTTGATAACTGAATTTGGAGATTGGTCGTGAGACCGGCCACGAGTCCGGCCGTAAATTTGCCCGAGACATCCTAGGTTTCTAGTGCTGAAACAGTTAAAACAGCTGAAAAACACATTGGTTCACTAAAAGGGGTCCTATTTGTGAAATACACATTTGTGTTTAACCTTTATCTTTCAAAATTGCAGTGAACTAAATTTTATAGAAAGAGGGGCATGATTTTATATGTGTCTGTGGGGGGCGCTAGAAATTCACTAGGGAGCCAAAGGGGGCGCCAGCCTGAAAAAGTTTGGGAACCACTGACATAATGAGTAGTTGTCACGTAGCTAGTTCAAGGTGAAGGTGTTTCCATCTACGTAAAGTAAGGGCATATTTCAATTTAAAAATACTTGAGTTATATATATTTTGTCATATTTGTATTTATTTATTGTCCTAACGCAGCGCAAGATGTATCTGATTACCTTTAAACATTTTTATTTTAGGCGGGTGAGTTAGGTGCGGTAGCAGGACATGGGGAAACGGGCTTCACTAAACACTAATGACTAATGTTAAACCACCAAATGAATTCATTCAAGAACTGATTGAAAGCAAACCGGTCGAGGCATCCACAGAAAGAATTTCGTAAAAAAGATGTCGTAGCCTACTTAATTATTTAATTTTTTACCAGGGAACGTATATATTTTATGAAGATTTGCATCGATGTGTCGAAAAAAAGTTGTGAAAAGGCTAAATTAACCGCAAAAGGCCTTCTCCACTTTTTTGGGACCGTAGCTTGGATCAGCATCGTAGATGTTCTTTAAATTGTGATAGTTCCAAACTTTGAAGCGCAAATTTCAACGTTTCTGTGAAGGCCAATGTTGAGTTAATTCGCGCATGGATAATATTTTAATCGATTGTGGCTCACTGTTGGATCAGATATATTTTGCAAACAACGTCATACGTATAAAATGTTAAGCTAATGCTAAACTCTGTCTCCACAGTCCACTCATTCATTTAATTCGTCAAGTTCTAGTTTCAAATTGTGGGTAACAATGTTCAAATTATTGATTTGTAATAATCATTTCTATCCTCTTGGTACTGAGAATTCGTCACCCCCTCCACCGACTGCGTGCCAGTTTTTGTTTGCGTCATGATAGCTGTTCTAATATGGTCCTCGCTGCTTGCGTCACTCGACTCTGCCATGTGCCACACGCCATCATAGCATTGCTAGTAGGAAGAGATGCGTCGCTAATATTTTAGCACGAATGGCAATACGTTAGCTTGTGGGTGCAGGTGGCAGGTGCTGGAGCTGTTCACCGTAAATTTGTTATATTTTCAGTACTGTTTGTTAAGATGAGAGGCAGCGGTGGCTAAGGTTATGGTTGGAATATTATGAAATTTCAGAGAGTGATTTGAGAAGCATTAATTTATAGGTCACAAGTCTACAGTCGTGCGATTGGCATGTGCGACAGCAGCACGTGCTAAGCCCCGTGCTCCGTTAAAGTGTGCCGCAAATGCGCATGAGCTGTGAGGCGGAACTCAAGTTATCAGGTTGAGTCGCAAAATGCTCACGCTCCGTCGATTGAAAAATTCACTTCTTACAAGCCTAAGAGCAGTGCTCTTGAAATGAAATTTTCAACAAGAGTCATTTTTCAGGCAAAACGCACGAATCTATTTTCAATGAAGTGAGAATTTTTTATCGTATTCAAACTGAAAATACATTAAGCGAATGTTTATGTCTCATCAAAATCATTAAAGCGCGAGTAAAACCATCAATAGTTCAAGAACATTGTTCTGAAGACGCGTTTAAAGTATTTTCTATCCATGTATCTTAGTCCCATGTGTCAGTGGTGGAGTTAAACATTTTTACTTGCCAGAGTTATTTTTTGCTCATAGCTGGGATGAAACGTCAACGGAGTTATTTTTTTCAACGCTTGACCTATTCCTCGTCCAAAGCCATTAACCTTGACACAGAACATTAGTTTTTGCTCATATTCGTAATCTCGGTACGGTTGGCTCTCTGTAGTTTCATATATTTTCTCGTGGTTTATTTATACTATTTAAGAAGAGCTCATTGGCGATCGGCACGAACATGGATGTCAGTCGTTAAAGTTTCAAGGAGTATAGTAACGACTTAGACGTTAGTCGTCGTCCAAGGGGAAAATTTGAGACAATTGAGTCGGCACAAACTCGATTTTCAACTCTTGATTAATTGGTTTAAATTTCGTGCATCAGTTGTTATTTTCAGAGTTTTTAAACTTAAACTTCCACACATTTTTCTGTGTAATTCAATTGTGGTTTTATAAATTCGATGGCAGTTTTCCTCGCATGACTAACCATTTCTAATTTGTTCTTCATGAGACAGTTTTTAGTAATTACAGTGATCACGGGATAACGAAATTTTTATTGTTTGAATTAGCATAATGTTTCAAAACTAAGACCTCTGGATCACTGCGGTGAACGAATCTTTCTGCAACGCAGTTGGCTAGAGTCTACCGCGCCTTCGCGTCCAGCCAATCACGGCTCTGCGTGCGGATCAATAGAGAGTTTACCGCCTTACCCGTCAGACCTTCACAGTACGAAAGTGAACTTTAGATCTTCTCAATCAATTCTGGGAACATTTTCATTTAAAAATAGATTCTCGAAACTATAACTACTAGGAACCTGCAAATTAATAATTAAAGGTATATAATATTGATACCGCTAACTCGAGAGATCTTTCTCTGCTTCTGCATGAGCATGCAACTTTTCAAGGTCCTTGCTGAGTCGCTGCTCTCTGTCTTCCGGGTCATTCTGTTTTGAGGTTATGTAAACCTGAATGGCGCGTGTCTGGTTGATTCTTGCCAGGAATATTGCGACATGATGGAACTGAGCATCTATGCTGCAATTGCGAAGAAACTTTAAGATGAGTACGCAGTATCTTCTGAGAGCGTTGATGATTGGAATACGGTATATCTAAGTGGCTATTTTGATGATCTCAGCGACCTTGGCGAGCGTTGAAGCTTGCCAAATTTAATCCTCTTCAGGCACATCAATTCGCGCAGCGGTTATGATGTAGCAACAAAAAACTGGGGTAATTCTAAGTGTACTCAATTAATGGGTTTCTGTTTCCAGTATGCTGGCGTGCCTGTTTTGCAACTTCCTTCATGCTAATGTTCAACGATCATTGAGCGATATTCGAATAAATCGTCAATCATTGTCTCCACTGTAATATCAATGAATCTAGAATGATATAAGCATATTTTACGATGAATCGACATTTTCAAAATTGTTGGACTTGTGAATAAGCAAGTTAAGGGGACCGACTACCTTAAAAATCGGAAATTTTGACATTTCCGTTTTCTTGACTCATTTTGTAGCTGCTGAAAAAGCTCGTCTAACGCAGTTTACCGCATGTCTGTGCGTGCTATAGTTTTTGCGTAAGGCAATTTTAAAAATATATACAATGAACATTTTTTAACATTATGTACAAAGATTTATTTGGATTTAATCTGTATATATAGATCATTACTTTCGTTAATCTCCTCCTACAGTTTTCAAGCTACAGCAATGAGACATATACCATTCGATTCGTAAAGACCATACCTATAGACTCTGTGATCACTTTTTTGAATTTCACTCTGGTTCGTTTTTTATATGGGGGAGAAGGGGGGGAGGGGGGAAATATGAGAAAAATTTGATAAAACGCGCATAAAAAACTATGGGGAAAATGAGAAAAGTGATCACAGAGTCTATAGGTATGGTCTTTACAAATAGAATGATACGTGTCTCGATGTTGTAGGATGATTTTTGTAGGAGGAGATAGATTTTCTCAAGTACCCCTTATTAGCCGTTTTCTATGAATTTCACGTTTTCTATCAATTTTTTCGAAAAATTCATATAAGCAAAATGTTCTTATTTTTACATTTTACGTATGCATGTGAAGTTTCATGATGATCGGATAATAACTGGTGAAGTTTTTTTCGGAGGGTAGCCGGTCCCCTTAAGCTGTCTCCATGATGAAAAGAGTCGGGGTAATATTGAAAAATGGTAATGGCTCACGATCTCTATTCTAATTACTCCCACGCTCTATGCTCTTAATAATTGATGAAGAAATGAATGTTAAAACTCGTGCTGTTGAAGTTATTCATAATCTGTATTTTTTTCAGTACCTGAAAAATGGCGTCCGACTCATGTCGACTCAGGCCACGTTCAAGGTGAGTTTCATACATTTTAATTCACCCGCTTGCCATCTTTGCCGCGTGCAAGACGCGTTTAAACATCGTCGACATCTAGTATATTGAGTATCAGGAAAATAAACACATGAATTATAATAATTGGTTTCACATCACATGTAATCCCGAGTGGATACTGAACAAAGTGTACGTATATATTTCAATTGCCGCGACCGATGGTTCACTTCAAGTGAGCCCGAGTATCTATCCCCTCTCTCCTCTTCCCCGCGATCCCCCAAAAAATTTAGAGCCCTTCACTGAGTTCATATTTATCTCTTCTCAGGCCTCAGACGTGGAGATCGAGTTTTGCAGGACTGATCAGCTGAAGCCTAAGCCAGCTGTCAAAGACCTCGTGTTCGGAGTGACGTTCACGGATCACATGCTCGAAGTCGAATGGACAGAAGCCGATGGCTGGGGCAAACCCAAAATATCTCCCTTCCATTATTTCAGTATTCATCCTGGAGCTAAAGTTCTGCACTACGCCACGGAGGTGAATGAAAATTGCATAATATGATGGTATTACAGTGTGTCATTTTGGGGTGTTTGTAATCGGTGTTTTTTGTATATTTATACATTTAGTGAAGGTACCGAGCAACAATAGAATTCTATTACTGAAATATCACTCGCACTTTACGAGTAACGCCAACGTACCGATGTTTTTCTTTAGTTTCTATTTAATATACATAGTAAACATTTATTTTCCAGTTATTCGAGGGCATGAAGGCGTACAGAACCTGCAATGGGCAAATATGTATGTTTAGACCCGACATGAACATGAAGCGGATGATAAGAACTGCAAAAAGGGCCAGCTTGCCCACCTTCGATCAAGACGAGCTCATCGTGCTCATGAAGAAGCTCATCTCTATAGATCAAGAGTGGGTTCCTCACGCTGAGTCGTCCAGTCTCTACATTCGTCCAGCCATCATCGCTCACGAGGTGCGCGTTAAGCAGAACTTATTTATTTGAGGAAAGAAATAATGGTTCCTAATTTTGAGTCTGTTGAGATTATGAGCAGGAGTAATAATAGGCGAGAGCTACGTCAGATTGGGTTTCGAAGTGTTGTATAGCGTTTCCAAAAGCTCCTACAATTTAATGTTCCTGAGATTTTACGTGAACTCATTCCTCTCAGTGATCATTGACCGGAAATGTTGATATGCTTTTTCTAAACATTTGTGCCAATAGTTGTTATGTTACAGCCAATATGAGTTTGAATAACATTGAATTCATTCATTAAACTTTTGTGTTTACTGGTGCGTTGTGTTGGAAATACAGTTACCGTATGTTATTAATGAAATCAATGTCGGCTAGATGAGCAGACTGGCTAGAGTTTAATAATTTCATTTCCACGGGATTTTGCGTTTTCACTTATTTAGTTATTGGTGGTAATTTCGTTGTCGCTCGTGTATAGGAGGTACTGAAGGTGGAGCAGCCGAGGAAGGCGTTGCTGTTCGTCATCCTGTCCCCCACGGGGCCGTACTTCACGAGCGGCTACAACCCCGTCTCCCTCCTCGCCGACCCTAAATACGTGCGCGCGTGGCCCGGTGGATGTGGTGACGCCAAGATGGGGTCCAACTACGCGCCAACCCTCGCTGTGCAGGTCAGAGGCTTGAGCCTTTCACGCGGCAACCCTCGCTGTGCAGGTCAGAGGCTTGAGCCCATCACGCGCCTACCCTCGCTGTGCAGGTCAGAGGCTTGAGCCTTTCACGCGGCAACCCTCGCTGTGCAGGTCAGAGGCTTGAGCCCTTCACGCGGCAACCCTCGCTATGCAGGTCAGAGGCTTGAGCCCATTACGAGCCCATCATCACTCTACAGGCAGTGGCACGTACACGTGATCTCATTCGAAGCACCGTGATGAGGATTGAATGACAGCCTCCGTGTCTATGCGTGTTTGGCAATGCCGGCCCATAATTAGCGTCTGTATATTAGCCGTCAGTAATTCCTCGTCTTGACGCAGTGTTGTGATCACAAGTATTTTCTATTGAAATGCAATTTTACTATGCAATTTCACAGCCCTAACGGTTGATAATTTGCGTGCAGAAAGAGGCAATGAAGCTGGGACATGCACAGGTTTTGTGGCTCTACGGGCCTGATCATCGCATCACTGAAGTCGGCGCCATGAACATCATGATCTTGCTGGACAAAGGCAACGGAGGTGAGCGTTATTATTATAGATAATATTATAATATCGGATATAGGATAATAATTTCTTGATATGATATTACTCTTATTTAATAGAATAGTTTACTTGTTGAACTCATTTGATATACCTCTATCGAATGAGCGATTTTTACGTGCAATAATTGCTCAGCTCCTTCTAAAGTATTCAAACATGCAGATATATTCAAATGAAGTGTAAATCCAATCTTTTTTCCATTACGGATGCATCATCTTTATCAATTGCTTCGACTCTTTATTGTTGTGTAAACGCGTGAAATTTGCCCGCCAGCTCACGTAATTCTCTTGCTGTGTCATGATGAAAATTCTCTGGCTTAGATCTTTTGGCAGCTCGTAGGGTAATAAGTCATCTAAGAATTCAAAATTATAATCTACAAATATTTTCCCACACGTTAGCCATAATTTAAGGTCAACCTCACAGTATGAACCTCTGCTAGGAGCCCTTCAGTAGGCACTGCCTTACTTTTTAACTTGGAGTTCAGGCATTATATGGTAGTTCCTGTTAGCGTTGTTCATAATTTGTGTAATTTATTGTTAACAGATGCAGTATAAATGTCTACAGCAAATGGTGGTAAACGAACTACCTATATATTTCATTGTCTTGTGCGCCTGCAAGTTACGTTGGCCACTGACCTTATTAGCATGGTTTTATTGCCACACTGCCAGGTTGCCACAATAATTGTTTTGTGGTTTTTCTCTTCTGTGATAAGATGACGCCCTCTTTTTTATTATTATCACGTTTTTCTTAGCTCGCTTTCGTGTCCTTCTGTCTGTGATGATCAAATCTTGCAATCGATATTTCACCAACTTTCCCGCTAGCTAGCGCTCTGAAACTTTTAGGGAAGCGCAGCTCCCGATGACAATACAATAATCAATAATTTGTTGCACGTTTCCAGGCGTATTTTTTCAATGAAATGTATTTATCACAGCCACGCACCCAGATAAATACGGGGACAACAATGTATCCCCTCGTAAACAATTTTCTACAGAACTTCGAAAATAATTTTCTTTCGTGCATTTGCGTGGCCAACTGAAATAAAATGAATATTATGTAGGATGGCTGCGTAGCAACGGACTAAAAAGGTGAAAATAAAATACTTGAAAAAAAACTTTTTTAAAAAACTACGTTTTTCTTGTGGACTAAAAAGTAGAAAATAAATTATGGCTCGCCCCAAAAAACGTGGGTCGGGCTGTACGTTCACCATCAAATTTCCAAAATTCGTGTGTTGTGTATGGCCCCTGGTGTTGGTTCTTGTTTCAAATTCTAGTAACCCTTCAGGGACCTTGTATAGACCATGAGTATACTTGTATACTTCAATGAGGTCCCCACGCAGACGTCGATAACTGAGGCTTGGAAGCTTCATAATCTTCAATCTTTCTTAATAGGACTTACCCTTCAAGCCTGGAATTATCCTTGTTGCAGGTCTTTGAACATTCTCTATTAAATTTCTGTCCTTTCAAGCCATAATTTATTTTCTACTTTTTAGTCCACAAGAAAAACGTGGTTTTTTAAAAAGTTTTTTTTTAAGTTATTTATTTTTTCTATTATTTAGTCCACAAGAAAAACGTGGTTTTTTAAAAAGTTTTTTTTTAAGTATTTTATTTGCGTTTATTGCTTTTCTGATGGAAAATACTTACATAGCCCCTTTCAATTTAAGACGCCTTCGCTGTGTGGTCCTGCGAGGAAGCCCTCGCGTACCTATAGTGCCCACTCATAATTAGAACCGCAGTTAATCGCTTTCGTGCATTAAAAGAACCCTCTAGTGTTCCGTGAAAAATCGGAAAATACCTGGAGATTTTTAAGGCCAGTGCCCATAGGAATGAAGTGTATCTTAACACCTTCTTAAAGTATAACCTCGTAATTTCAGTAAGTTTCATTTAACACCTTCTTAAAGTAAAACCTCGTAATTTCAGTAAGTTTCTCGGCTGTAAGCAAGTTCGAAACATCATTGAGGCAATAGCTGAGAAGAAATGTAGGAAGAGGGAATGAAATCCCTCGTGTAAGAAATGATTACGTTCACTCATTGGTGTCGTATGGTGGGAAACGCGCGGATAATGCAGATGAAATAATATATTATGGCAGTGCGCTGCACATTACATATAAATCTAGGACATCATTGATGGACCGCATACCTTCGCGTGTTGGCGTCCTGTAGCAGCACTGCTGCTCCTGGTGTTATCACCTCTCGCTGTAATGCGATATCCTGACATTAATGCTCATCCAAAGTGCACAACATTTATGTCGTGCTTTAATTGATTAATTTTTATTCCAGAGCGCGAGCTCGTGACGCCTCCCTTGGACGGACTCATCCTGCCAGGAGTAACGCGTGCGTCGCTGCTGGAGCTCGCTAGGTCGTGGCGGGAGTTCGAGGTGAACGAGCGCGACATTACCATGGCTGAGCTCCTGGAACACTCCCGCAATAACAGAGTCAGTCGCGAACCTCTGCGGCAAATTTAGATTCTCGTATTACTGTGCATTTGCCAGTGCAATTTAGAAGCGTCGCAGTAGTGGATTATTCATGAATTTAAAACGTTCTTTCATGATCTTGAAAAATCAAATTCAAGGTAATAAATAAGTTAGTGTGATTGTGTGCAGACACAATAACGAAGTGCTGAATATTAGGGAAATGGGGACAAATTTATAATAATCTCATAGTGTTGACAATAAAATGAGTCAGTAGTTTTAAATGATTTTAGCAACGAGGTTCAAGACCTTGCGTTATTCAAGTATCGTTCCCTGAAATGTGATAGTTTCCCCGAAACGAATACGGATTTCCTGGCTACTTCTGACAACCCTTATGTATTTGTCACAGCTTTTCGAGATTGACAACACTCCTGTATTTGTGACAGATTCTGGAGATTGACAACCATCATTGTATATGTGACTGATTCTGGAGATTGACAAACCTCTTTTATTTGACACAAATTTTGGAGATTGACAACATTCTTGTATTTGTCGCAGCTTCTCGAGATTGACAAACCTCTTGTATTTGTCACAGCTTTTCGAGATTGACCAACCTCTTTTTTTGTGACAGATTCTGGAGATGTTCGGCTGCGGCACAGCGGCTGTGGTGTGTCCCGTGGGCAGCATCTCTTACAACGGGCAGACCATCCGCATCCCGACCATGGAACACAAGCAGCCTCTCACCACCCGCTTCTATGACGCCATCACAGACATACAATACGGCCGCACTCCCCATCCGTGGTCCGTTCCTATAGAGTAATCATTATTAATTTAGAAAAGAAATTACCACGCCACATAAAGCTACAAAACTGTTTTGAATGCGGATACGTCTCTTCCTTCTATAGAGTATTAAAAGGACTGCTTTAGTTATTCTTTATTCCTCTTAAGTATTATAAATATTCAACCAGTTTTGAATGAATAGATTTAGCTCGATGAGAATCTATTGTGTATGGATTTACTAGAAATCCTTGACAGGTAAAGCAGCGCACTCATTAGGTCAAAAGCTACATATGTAAATCTAGAAGTTCCATTTATGGACTAAAATCTCATGATGCTGCTAAGTCTTGAGCAGTGTGACGTGTTCAACCTTAGAAGGAAAGAATGATTAGCGCAATAGGTAGAAATTCAGCCTTGTAAATAGCGTCCGAAAATGTATTTCACGTAAACAAATGTACATGTTATACAGTAAATTTTATCGATCCTGCTGCATGGCGAATCGTGCGATTATTCATATCGCGTTTAATCTTTACTCTGAGGATGTTCTACTTGCACAACTTTTATTTTATGTTTAGCAGTTCGATTCGCGGTTAATTTTTCTGAACGGTTATCGGTGCAGCTCTTCGATGTTTGTAAGGTTTTAAACCTATTTTTAATTTATAAACACGATCGCTAGGAAATTTTGGACGTTTTTGTTATGAGCTTGATTGCATGACTGCTGCGTTGAAGATCCAGCTTTGTTGCTACTCGTTGATGGCACATCTTGTTAATAATAGTATCTTAACTTAACATGATCTGAGTAATTTGTTGACTTAATTTTTCTTCTTGGTCCGAGTAATTTGTTCAGCAGCCGCGTTCAGCTATAGTAATTTACTCGTTGAATCCGTCTGCACTGTTTTTACGAACTGCGAACTCTTTTAACTGATTCGAACTTTTATGTTGTAAGGATAACAATCAGTTCTCAAGCTGAGAAGAGAAATTTTTATTTATTTGAAGGAGCTCGGAGAAAATTTTAGATTAACGGTGAATCTTTTCGTTGACAAACTTTCAGTACAGTAATTAATCCATCACAATTGATAGTTAAGGCTTTCTGAGTATTATTGATGATTTATACTTGATTTTTGTGGCATGCAGTTGTATTCTTCATCATTATTGAGAAGTAATTGTTATAAGATGAGTTTTATGCCTGTGCATGTACAATGTTTCAGCAACATCACTTGCTGTTATGACGTCGTTGTTGACAGATAAATTACAGCGTAGGGCGTTGGTGTGAATATCGCGGACAACGCATTTAAAATAATCTCTTTTTCTGATTAACTATCCATCCTCGCTGACCTGACATAAAGTTGCAGAAGTATCTCTTATATCTCTATAGTGAATATAAATATTGACTAGGTAAGAATCTGAACCGAAGTTTATTGAGGCAACAAATTAGACTTAGATGACGGCACAAGGATCTGATATAGAAATGAATGTCCAAAATAGAACCAAATCGAATTAATATAATGAAATTTTTGGCAGAGTTAATCGCATACGTTGCACCTTAGAATTCAACGTACATGTCATGTTTAAAATCTAAATCGATCTCCAATAATTAACCGTTTGTATCTCGCCCCGCTTTTTTTACAGAATACCCTGATGGTATGTCAATTTTAATCGATTCAACTGATAAGCTAACTGTGATTTTTAGGCACACTTTGTTGCATTTGACGTGATCTCTTTGTCCAATATTTTGCGCTAGTTCTAACCGAGCATATATGATATGAACATATGCACTCAACCGATTGAGTGCATATGTTCTTCAAGTGAATCCACAATTAACCAGAATCTTTTATTTATATAAATATATGGTTGTTTATTTTTACTTGTGGCATATGATTCGGAATTTTTTACGCTTCCATCAAGTATTATATTACACCTCACACTCTAAGCGACTTCTAGAACTCGCTTAGAAGTTTGTGGCAATCATTCTCTGCCATTCATTCTTGTGTGTAAATAGTTTTATATATAGTTATATATTTGTTGAAATTTGATCGTACAATGCATTTATAGTTCATTTGCTAACTTTTTTCCGTAGGTATTGTTGGAAAATTTTCTCCATGTCACAATTTAATGCTACGCCGCTTGTTTGTTAAGTAGCTCGAAAACTTTCGATGTACTTATATTCTGCGAACTTCGAAAGTTTGCACCTAATGGGATGTACCAGCGAGCTCAGTAATGACTGCGGTTGTTATTCATTGCATTAATTTAAGGAACGCTTTAATTTGTTCCCAATTGCCGCCTGTGAGTTGGGAGAGTCAAGCCTTGTCAGCGATTTTTATGAGAATCAATGCTGACGTTTCATGTACTGGAATTCCTTTCTCCTCATCGGACAAAGTTTGTTTTACTTGATCTTCTTCCAGGAATTCTAATGAAACTGTAGCCTAGGTTAGCTGAATTTTACAATGATTTGAAATCGTCGTATGAGTTACAAGGTTTACAAGCATTTATCAGTTTATAAGCTGGTTATTGTTATATTGTGTCTCCATAAATTGCACGAAGTTTATTTTGTTCTCATTAATGATTGTGCAAAGACGTCACAATTCCGATGCAAGCTTTCAGTGTGGTAGATAAACTCCATTTTGCTTCGGACTAATTCGTAGATTTTTCTCACACTTTTAAAGCCTTGCCCTATTTTCGCGTTTCTTTTGACTTTCGTAAGAGTTGTTAGTTTTAGTGGCTCTGATGTACGTAGCTCTCTCTCACTCTCTCTATTACATGCAAAAGTCACTCAGACTTTCATCTGTGAATTTAAGAGTCTTCCTCATTTCCTCTCACCAACATGATGTCCGTTTTTCCCATCGCTCACTACAGAATTCGACCGACTTCACATACCTCTCGTAATCGTCGCGCGTCCTTCGTTTCCCTTTGTTTTCCCTCATGGAAGTTTACATGAATGCTTTCGTCAGTTACTCTCGAATCAGTCATATTTGCTGGTACGTCTGATTTTCATAATTTTCTCAACTGCAGATATGCTTCTGTGACCTATCTGCATTTATCGCTGATTCCGGCTGGTTACTGTTTTCGCTAATAGTTAAGTTACTTCCATTGCTAACATTTTTCCTAGATAATTCAAGCTCAAATTGATGGAATCATTTGCCGATTTTATTGTTTTAGATTTTGCAAGTGCTCATCTTGTAAAACGTCTTCCAGGAACAAAAAAATTTTTTTTTTTATAAAGTATGGCATCGCAAATTGTCTGTTAGCTTCTTGATAATGGGATCAACGTCGCGTTCAGTCTGGGAATTCTTTCAGTTATGGTGAAGAATGCTTGATGAAATTACCAAATAGCCCCTTTTTTATAATACTGTATCTATTATGTCATGCAAATGTTTCCGTCAATCTATCTCAAAAATATTGACCGCTTCTTATCGGAATCCTTTTTGTTTTTTATTTTAAAATAAAATTTATTTATTGGTAAATTGGAGCATAGGAGTTTTTCAGTTTATTCTATGTTGTAAATTATTTTTTTCGCCCAAAATTTTCTCCTTGTGGTTCTGAAAACTTGTGCTGAACCCAAGATTGATTAGGGCACGTCAGTTGTGTCTTGTCAATTCTTGAAAAACCTCTAAGCGGTAATCTACTTGAACAAATTTATGGCGTGATTTATCAAGAGGTGCGATGGGACTTAACTTTCAGGTTGTGGACTAGGAAGCCGCTGCTTCAACGCTTGATAAGTGTAGAGAGAGCAGAGCATCTTGATGTGATCTAGTGGTAATAGCTTAGATTAGTATTGACGCTCTCATGTACATCGCTTGCTTTTCTATTAAATGTCTGTGTAAGACATAACGTCTTTTTCTTACAAAAAATCCCTCTCTCCTACTGAATAAGGTTTTATATGTAGGCAATTCTTTTCATCTGCATGAGGTCACACAATCGCTCCAAATTCAGTTGCAAGATTTTTTTTAGGTCACTATGTAGACGTAACATTCTGCCTCGAGATACCTAATCTGTGCTACCGAAAATATGGTCCATGAACTGCACAAAATGACACGCGTGGCTTGCAACGCTGCACAGGGTCACCATATAGAGCGCCTTGAGCTGCCTTATCCTACTGACGGTAAAGAAGTGCTGCTCTAGTCTCCAGTCTAAACCGTAGAAAGATTTCCTTTAGCCTTATGAGGTACTTTTAATTGATCGTTGACTGCGGACAGACGATAGCTTGTTCTGACGATAAGCTTATCGTGCTTCTGAACGATCGCATTAATGTCAGCTCTAGTATCTTGAAGTCTAAATGATGATACCTACCTGTATACGTTCTATGTATCGTTTGCAGGGCAGATAGCTAGGAAATCTCTTGCATCTCTTCAAAGCGTGCATAACGTACAATAGTTCATTCTTCGAATCTCACTATTTCTCTTTCAAATGTTAACTTTATTTCTGAACGAACACTTTTCACATTACCGCTTTAATGTCTAATCCTCATAATATTGCTTCTGTTTGCAAATGCAATCTTTATTCTGCACACTTTGCAGTAGAATCGTGTTGACACACTACATCAACTCTAGAACCTCATTCATTTAGCCTCACTCCTGTCTTCTTAATGCTTAAATTTGTCACTGCCAGCTACAATCTTGATTCCATTCGATCGCGTAGGTACCATCTGTCCGATGCAGCAACTCATTTATTTACGATTGCCTCCACTCGTCCGACTGAACAACTCAATTGTAGCGTTACGTGTGAAGCATTCGAAGCGGTGTTGGAGCCAGCGCTAACGAGCGAGCAAGGAATCCGCGATAGTCCAACTATCTCTCTTCGGATGCCACTGCAATCAACGGCACTGCGGGGCTTTACTTTTTTATGGAAACTATAAATAAGGTAAGCAATTGACTGGCTAGCTAAAAAAATACGATTTGAGTGAACGCACTTGGTTTTGCTTCAAATTTTACAATTAACAGTACTTATTTTATCCAATCGTAAATCGAGAAAAATTCCTCGTAGAGATAAAATTCGATATTTGCCTTCGTAATTTAATGGAATGAAAATCACCATTGAAGGATCTGTTCGTGGATCAATTTATATCGTCATAAAGCTTAAGCTCATTTTGGTGAGATATTAAATTTACTACAAAAATTTTATATCATTTAATAATGATGCGTTAATTCAATATCATCACTTAGTATCATCACTTAGCTGAAGTGTCGATCCGGTAATAACAGAGTGATGTTTCACAAATTTTAGGAACGAAATACCCAGTTTTGGGAATATATGTTAAGGGGACCGACTACCCTCCGGAAAAACTTCTACAGTTATTATCCGATCATAATGAAACTTCACATACATACGTAGAATGTAAAAAAAAATAACATTTTGCTCCTATGAATTTAAAAAAAAAATCATAGAAAACGTGAAATTCATAGAAAACGGCTAAAAAGGGGTACTTTAGAAAATCTATCTTCTCCTACAAATATCATCCTACAACATCGAGACATATATCATTCGGTTCGTAAGGACCATACATATAGATTTGATGATCATTTTTCTCATTTTCCCCTTAGTTTTTTTTATGCGCGTTTTATCCCATTTTTCTCATTTTTTCTCATTTTCCCCCCTTCTCCCCCATATAAAAAACGAACCAGACAGAAATTCAAAAAATGACCATCAGTTCTATAGGTATGGTTTTTACGAATCGAATGGTATATGTCTCATTGCTGTAGCTTGAAAACTGTAGGAGGAGATAGGTTTGCCGTGCGACCAATCGGAGGTTTTCAGGACGCCCAAAAAACTGCCGGGCGGCACGTAAAATGACGTAAAAGAGTCGTAACGTAGCCAACATACCGCAACCAAGCCTTAAAACTAAGTGAGGAAGGCATAGAGCGAGTGGCTGCACACCTTTCACCTCGCTGTCATGATGGGCACTGAAAGACATGGCTGCATCTGGCAGTATATCAAGTCACGCCCCGTAATTAATGCCATAGGAATTTGTTAAGGCCGCCCTCCACCGCCCCCCGTTCCATGGTGCGTTGTGAACGTAAAAATGGAGGTAGAAAGCTGATTCTGCCACCAATTGAATCGTCAGAAAGTAAGCTTTAAGATGAGTATGAGCACCGGATAATGCCATGATTGGCCGCTTTACGTCAGACGTTCCTTTTTAGTGTGTCCTCCCTTCTAATTAATCCCATAGGCTTTAGTTAAGGGCTCTAAAAACTCCCTCCCTTCGGAGGGCGGTTACGAAATCATTTTTTGACGTAGAGGGATGATTCTGGTACGGTTGGATGCGTCAAAAACTAAGCTTTAAGATGAGCTCAAAAACCGGAAAACGCCAAAATTGAAAATTTTAGGGTAGTCGGTCCCCTTAAGTTGAGTGTACCTAAAAATGTTTCTAAAAATGTTGAATGATTATTACTGTATTTCTTAACGACCCACAGTACGGCAAAAATACCGGCCAAAAATAAGAGAATTTTAATCAAAATATTCTCTTGTGATTCACCCCTGCTAATAAGCTCTCAAGTGACACTTTCTATAATATCTTCTCTTCAAAATAAAAACATGCCAATTATTCTGTATCTTAAAATGATTGCATATAAAGGCAGCTTCCTCTCAGACACATAAGCCGAGAAAATTCTCAAAATGAGAGCCATATTGCATGACAAGAAGAGTACCGCAAAATGTGGGTGGGGCTGAGAGAGTTCAATGCACCTCCTTGTATGGCAACACTTGATAGCTTGGCGGCATTGTGAGCAGGCGCGACGTGGTGGTCAGTCGTTGGCACCCCTGCGGTCAGGAGAGATTTGCGGCATCTCTAAATTGTCATTTTGGACTCCATGGACGATAGGCTGCAGCTTTATTTTTTATGACTAAGCCCAACGGATTCTAAGTGATGAATAATTGCTCATTTTTGCGCTTGGGCTGTGAAGTTAATTATTACTTTTTATTTTACTTCTAAACGTACCGTAGTTTGCACACGAATGATGCTACCTAGTTGCGATACCTTGAAGGCACTTATCATATGTTCTTGTTATTTTAATTTATCTTGACAATTCTGAAAGTTATACTTTATACCAAATTTCATAAATGAAACAAGTATTTGCTCCTGTTCTATAGAATAATTTGACACTTGCGGATGCAAGTTTATTCAAGGATGTACTGTAATTAGCTGAGGAAGGTTACTCGACTGACCTGTCGAATGGAGTTAATTAAGGACAAATACATATAGATATCGTAAATTTTTACAAGTCTCCGCCCTCTTACAGAAGTAATATATATATAAAGAACTGAAAAAGTATAGCTTTGTCATAGCCCTTGAATGTTATTAAAATAAGGTTAAGTGATCTAACGAACATAATCAATATCGTTTCCATAGGAAGGTTTCAGTTTCATGTGTCACTAACAATGGTCAGAAACTTGTATTTATATGTTTAATTTTACTCGATTTTTCCAAACGTTAAGGTATAAGTTTTCAATGCGTTTTACATTTATCGTCAGCCGTCTGTAAACATTCGTTAAACTTATGACAAAATTTAACCCTTAAATAAATGGACATTAATGTATGGAGTTTGGAATCGATTAAGACTACATTGGCTTGTAATAAAGATCTTCTTGTCCCGCTGGAAAAATGTTCATTTTATTGATAATTACGAGCCTACTAGGTATATTCAAATTTGCCCAGATGTCAGTAGCGGGTTGAGTTTTGTGAGATTCAATATTTTTTCTATATCATTAAGCGAATTCCTAGTGTGTTACATCTTTACATGAGAAAAATGAAAAATTTGAGGTTTGAAGTGTAGTTGACGTAAGGAGTAGTTACTAACTTTTATACATCAAGTTCGGCTATAATTAGAAAGATGCAGACAGACCTTATGATTGCGGCGTATGTGGTCTGGCATAAAGAGGGATACCGGCAACCGCGGTCCGCGAGACGGTGACCGCGTCGGCCAGTACGGCTTCGTCCGCAAATGAGAGTGGGTGTGGACGTTGCTGCGAGAGCTGATGGGGTCGACCTGAAAATGGGTCTTTGCAAAATCACGATAAGTATTTTATGTAGGTTATTTTAACGATTCCTCATGTTTTATTGCTCGATATGAGTAGGTTTTTGGGCACTTCTTCTGTATTATTAGACTTTCTTCCACAAGATTAGGTTTTCACGAGAAATGTTTAGTGGTAGTGTGGTACTAACTAATGTCACTCACGATGAGAATTGGAAATTTTCTATTGTTTTCGGAGCTATTTAGAAATTTTAAAATTTCAATCAGTAATCAAAGTAATATACAGAAAGATTTTACGAGTTCGTCAAATTTAGAGGTCAAACCTTGCAAGTTGCTGGAATTCATTTAGGCTAACCTGGAATTGAAATAAATTTTGAAATCGCTTAATTTTCCATTAAGTGTTTGCTTCCTATTTTTTAAAAAGAATTTTTCTTTCTCATTAATTAATTCACGAGTCTAATTTACGTTTTAATGTGGTTTTATTTTGTTACCAAAATTGCATTGTTTTACTCGTGCTGTCTTAGGTTTAGGTAGGTATGACTGTAAAGCCTTATTGCCTTTACCGTCAAATGACAGCACAGAATATATTTACCGTAAAAGAAGATACTCGATTCTTATACCTAAACTTGGCTGTAGCTGTCTCGCTAAACAACTTAGTCCTGCTAAGATTCTTATTTAAATATTGAATCAGGATTTATCTGGCTAAATTAGTCTAATCACCAACTGACTAATTAAAAATTGTTGGCGTGAGTAACGTCACCACCTTCTTTGAATCATGATCCTTACTCTGGTAAAGCACCTGTTCACCTAGATTTGCCTTGTCTGCACGGTTTAGCTGCTATTTCAATTTTATTTACTGCA